AAAGAGAAAGCGGAGAGAAGAGGCGAAAGGAAACATTGTTTCTATTTCTACTTTCTAATTGCAATGTTTGACTTAGTCTGAAACTTTGCCTTGTCTGAACTGTATTTTAATGTCACTTGCCAAATCAGGGGGTCAGCAACCTATGGCACTTAAGACTGCCAAGCTAAACAGGCTTTGGATTATCAGGAGTCCCAGTGTGATAATTCAGATATCTGCTAGTGCAAAAAGGTGGTGAGGGACAATCCTTAAAGGACCACTATAGTGCCAGGAAAACATACTCGTTTTCCTGGCACTATAGTGCCCTGAGGGTGCCCCCACCCTCAGGGACCCCCTCCCGCCGGGCTCTGGAGAGAGGAAGGGGTTAAACACTTACCTTTCTCCAGCGCCGGGCGGGGAGCTGTACTCCTCCTCTCCTCCTTGCTCGCGACGTCATCGGCTGAATGCGCATGCGCGGCAGGAGCCGCGCGCATTCAGCCGGTCGCATAGGAAAGCATTTACAATGCTTTCCTATGGACGCTTGCGTGCTCTCACTGTGATTTTCACAGTGTGAAGCACGCAAGCGCCTCTAGCGGCTGTCAATGAGACAGCCACTAGAGGCTCTGGAGGCTGGATTAACCCTCAGTATAAACATAGCAGTTTCTCTGAAACTGCTATGTTTATAAAAAAAAGGGTTAATCCTAGAGGGACCAGGCACCCAGACCACTTCATTAAGCTGAAGTGGTCTGGGTGCCTAGAGTGGTCCTTTAATTTACACATTGCAGCACACACAGCCCCCACAAACACCAATGACAAACAGATTTTAATTACTGTGCCAATTACAAACTGCAACTAATTGGGAGTTTCATGTTAAAATACAATAAAATTAAAAAGGTGATTTGTTTGTGCTTATAAAAGGTCCCAACAGAATAAAAAAAAAAAAAAAGTTTAAGATTGCATCCCCCAAAAAAAAAAAAATATATATACAGTATATACTCGAGTATAAATCTAGTTTTTCAGCACATTTTTTGTGCTTAAAAACACCCACTCGACTTATACTCGAGTCACTGTCTGTATTATGGCAACTTAGAGAGCCGCGGCCGTCAGAGCCGTGGCAACATTCCGCGCGGCAACCAGACCGCGAGACTTACAGTGGAGCTGACCGGAACGGAGGAGAAGGGAGCTGACAGGAGCTGCAGGAAAGGTAAGTAAATGCTTCCTGCCGGCCCCCCTACTTCACAGCCCATGCCACTGGACCACCAGGGATTAAGATAGCCCCCCTCCCTGACCGGTTAACAAGCAGGGAGGGGGGACAAAAAAAAAAATTAAAATAATTACAAAAAATATAAAAAAACAAAAACAAAATTAAAATGCCCTCCCCCCACCCAGTTCACACACACTACACAAACACACACTCTTCATTATATAGACACTCTGCATTATATACACAGAGTCTGTGTATATAATGCAGAGTGTGTGTTTGTATGAGTGTGTGTGTGTATATAATGCAGAATGTGTGTTTGTATGAGTGTGTGTATATATAATGCAGAGTGTGTGTTTGTATGAGTGTGTGTGTGTGTTTGTATGAGTGTGTGTGTATATAATTATAAAAATCACAGAATTTCATAGCCCCAAGTTTTACCCTCGACTTATCCACGAGGCATAACATATTTCACAATTGTTGGTCACAAAACTGCACTCGACTTATACATGAGATCGACTTATACACGAGTATATACGGTATATATAAAGCATACAAAATTAAAGGGGCACTATAGTCACCAAAACAACTTTAGCTTAATGAACCAGTTTGGGAGTATAGATCATAACTCTGTAGTTTCACTGCTCAATCCACTGCCATTTAGGAGTTAAATCACTTATGTTTATGCAGGCCTAGCCACACCTCCCTTGGCTGTGATTGACACAACCTGAATGAAAACAAAATAGTTTAATTTTCAATCCGATGTAACCAACTTTAAAAATTATATCCAGATTTGTAAATTGAACTTTAATTACATACAAGAGGCTCCTGCTGGGTCTAACAAGCTATTAACAGTGCAAAAGATGAGAAATTCTAAGTTAAACAGAATTTAAAATAAAGGAAGTGTAAACATTAGCTGACTCTCTACAGGAAGTGTTTAGGAATTCTGTGCAAGGAGGGGGTGTCTATGGCTGTATAAACACAGTGATTTATCTCCTAAATTGCCAAGAATTGAGCAGTGAGACTGCAGGGGCATGATCTATACAGCAAAACAGCATCATTAAGCTAAAGTTGCTCTGGTGACTACAGTGTACGTTTAAGGTTGGCACTCAAATCCCATTACTCCAGTTAGTAAAGACTATAGTGCACATCAGACCCAATACATATTAAAAGGTAAAAATAAACAACAAAAACCACACACACCCCTACTTACTTGCAGGTGCCAGTTTCTTTGGGTTGTTCATTGCCGGTATGGGTATTCCAGAAAACACTTGCTACAAATGAGTGATAGAAAAATAGATACACAAGGCAATATGTGCTAATAAACAAATACAAACAAAATCCATACACCAAAATTAGAGGGACACACCAATAAGAACAAAACGAAGTGGAATCTGGACGCATTTCCCATCTACTATACAACACTTCTTCAGCAAATTTGAGAGCGGTTATCCCTCGTTTGTTTAAAGGTTCCCAGACCACCCTTGCACCTTGATTAAAGCTAAAGATCATTTACCAATCAACCGCGCTCATCTACTTCCACCTAACAACTTCACGCCATGTACGAAGTCATGACGGACTCTCTGAACTAAAGCACACTTTGGGCAATTTATCTCAGATAAACTCAACTTCTCAGCCACTTGTTCTTGTTTTCATTTCAGACTTAGAGGGTTTTATTTTCCTCTTTGATGGAACACAAGCAGTACAAATGACGTGAAAGAGGTATCTGGTCAGCAGTGTGAATAAATACCTCAATCAACAATCCTTGTTAAAGGGGCACTATAGTCACCAGAACAACTACAGCTTAATGTAGCTATTCTTGTTAGTATAGTCAGAGAAAAAGCTGTGTTTACAATACAGCCTAGAGACACCTAGTGGCCCACTCGAGGTGCTTCCTGGGGCAGTGCTGCTTGACGTTCAGTGTCAGTGGAGACACTGAACTTTCCTCACAGAGATGCATTGATTCAAGCCCACCTCTTTGGCTAGGATCATCAAAATTGACAATCTGAGCCACTCCAATGTTTTCCTATGGGAAAGTATTGTGCTTGGCTGAGACCACTTCTGACTAGGTCAGCCAAGGAGGCAGTTTGGGGGCTGAGCCAGCAGACTGTAATAAAAGTAATATTTTACTGTTTTTGGGGGGTGGGCTATTAAGTGTTTTTAACACGACAGGGTCAGGAATACAGTGTTTATGGTGTTCCTTTAAATACATTAGGCTGTTACTTCAGTGGCTCCATGTTTATTCTAGGACACAATATTAAATGGGGATATTGTACATGGTCTTAAATATTGCTCACTCACGCCTTTGCTGTTCATTTCAAATACTCCGATAACCTAACATCCTAGTTCATGCAATTCTTGTCTCCAACTCTTACCAACTTTAACACAATACGTCCATTCTATTATAAGTTCTTGAAAACTTATCTAAACCAAAAGACAAACCTCAATTAGAGCGAAGGTTTGTATGCAGTGACAACCCACTTTTTTCCCCATTTTATTATTATTCGTACTCTACACTTGCATAGCACTGCAGTTAATAACAATAGTTAAAATTTGGAAAGAAAATGAGTCACCTCTGTGTCCAAAGGGACTGATGAGGCTAGTCCAATATTACCAGAAATATTCTGGACTTGCACTCTGATTCTGAAATTGCATGAGCTCCTTGTATGAACTTCAGGTAATGGGCGACGGGTCGATCCCCAGGTAAGTTGTTAAACTCTTCATAAACTCTGTTTCACTGCTTACTTTTCAAGACCTCCAGGGCATGCCTGGCACAATATCCACTACTCCAGGCTGTAGTGGTTAGGTTACTTGGAATGTGTTCATCTAAAGAGAAGCTTTTGCTAGTGTTGCAAATGGTTCAAATAAACCTTGTAAATTTTCCAATACATTTACTTCAACATGTTAAGGATGACAAATATTAAAATCCATAGAGAAATGTAACTTCCATTTCAAATGCTTCACTTGATTATCATTTGTATATATGGCATTTATAATTAGAACCCTCACAAGCACCACATAACTTCCTCTCACGGTACTGTGTTTAAAAGCTTATTTACATTTTCCTGGAAGTGGTTTCTCACAATCATCTTAGTAGACATATACTGCTAGAAAGTCCTTAAGTTTTTAGAATATCATATGCAGTAAAATTTTATTTCCCGTTGATTTGTTGCAATACATAACCACAGGATACTCACCGTGCAGTCTCTAAAATATGGTCTCTGAATTCATTATTTATCTGGCTTTAATTAACGGTTAGAGTCCTTCCTACTGAGACTTGAACTTCTTTGTATTTATAATCAATTAGCAACATTACCGTTTAAAGAATAACTGCATCGCTGTCTTACAAATTTCCAAAATAAGGAACAGTACAGTGTAAAATGTAAATATTTGTATGCACATGACTGCTCAATCTCAAGTAGCTGTCACAACATGCTTGTGGACAAGGCTTGTTGGGTTTCTTCCCTCTGCCAAATTCAGTTTTATTATGCCCAATGTTTCCAATACAGAAGCACTTGTTTCTATTTATATAAAATTATAAGAGAATACAGAATGGTAAAATCTCATTTGAACAATGCAAAGTTTGCTGCCACGGAGTAACCTGTTCTGATTGTTTTACGTGGTGGAATTAACTGATGCCATAAGCAATTACACTTTTCTATAATGAAATGATTTATCCGTGTCCTTGTCCAGCGGATGGTAAAGCCAGTGCAGAATTCTTACCTCCAAGTAGTTTTCTGATATTCACTGTGCACTGTTCTTGTGCCTAAAACGCATTACCTGACTGGGACAAAACAAACTAAACTTGCAAGATAAACTTTTGCTTCAAAAAACATTGTAAACAATTTGCTAATAGATTTTTACTCATGAAAGAAAAACAGAATCTGACATGTACAGAATACTGAGCAATACTTTTATTTAAAAAACTTTTCCCTACAAGTGCATAATGCACCAATACAAATTAAAAATATAACACAAAAAGCTTTACATATCACGTACACAGGTATAAAGGAGGGCTTGGGACATCTGTCTCAGGTCTTCCGGTAGTCAGGTAGCACTAATGCGTCACGCTCTGTACATGGAAGGAAGGGGTGTGAGGGAGCCAAACTCAGCAGCACCCAGCTGCTTAGCAAAGTGGAATGTGTGGTTCCCCCGCTCCCTCAGATTTAGGCTCAAGAGAGGTGCTTGGACCACCCTCTTCTCCTTCAAAAATCTTAAGTCTTAGAAATTTTTACTTTTTTTTTTTCTTTTAATTGTAACATTGTGTTTATTTATGGGACGGGGTTCCATCTCCAGGATGTGAACCGCAAGTTTCGTCGGGAGGGGACTGTTTACCAGGCCGGAGCAGTGTTGGCAAGACGTCTCATACGCCTATAGGGAGGAAAAGAGAAGAGGGGCAAGGTAAATGATAATGGAGGCTGCAGGTGTATCTTAACACTAAGGCAGAGGTTCACGTTCATCGGGAAGAAAAAATTTCACTGTTCACATCACCCATTTGAAGAAACATGCTGCATTTTATGCTTAGTACCTCTAACACACTTCCAACCAACCTTAGCATTGTCCATATAAAACAGTTCAAATATTAGTAATTTTATTGTGCCCAAATATATTAACTCCCAGAAACTATTTTCCAACAATGAATGTTAATTTCTAGGGAGTCAAAGGCATTCGTCACTTAAAAGACATTAATGCTAAAACATAAGTTGGGGTTAGATAAAGAAACAAAATCTGGAGTTCAAATATCTATATAGGCATTATGGAACTTGCCATTTTTTGCATCCAAAAGTCTTAATTTTAGAGGACCCAGATGGCTACCATTACTTATTGTACATTTGTATTAAAAACATGGCTTAAAATATGCAGCTGTAATTGGTTTATGCTTAAAATGCTAAAAAATAAAATAAAAATGAAATATGGGAATTAAATTGAAGAAATATTCAATGTCTCTGCATTCTCTAAAATCCAGGACTCATTGCATCAGCAAATGGGCAAGTTCATAACAATTACATACATACCTGAACAATTCTGCGTGATGATTCATATAAAAAGTCACTTATATTTAAGCATTATGGTTAAACATTTTCAGCAATCTTTTGGTAGGAGAAGCTGGAAGTGAGTAGTGATAACCATTGGCCTAGAAATTAATCCCCTAATGTACAACATGGGCCTTTAATAAAAATAAACAAAAGAATCAATATGTGCTAAAAGGTGATTTTTTTTTTTTTTTAAACTCAATGAGAGTTTAAGGAAAAAAAAACAAATTTAGACACAACTTGATAAAACTAGGCCTTAGAGCAGGTATGCAGCATATTGGTTTTCTGGACGATGAACAGTCTAATAATCCCTTTAATGATTAAGGTACCTGTAAGACATTAAGGGGTTAAAGCTTGAGTATTATAAGGATAGGAAACTCTGTACAGGAAGGGCCCAATACAAGAAGCAGAGATACACTTTTCTTCACCCGTCAACAATCATATATACTAGCCAAAATATGACATTATGCCTCACTTTCTTAATAAACATTATGCAGATGAAAAACTGATCTAGTGCCATTCTCATGAGAGTTAAGGTGGGACAAAGGATAAGATCCATGACTGTGACATTTGAGTTGGATTAGATACATGTCCAGCTTGAACAAGATATGTTGTTTAACAGTTACATTCACATGTCTTCACCGGAATAGCTGATGTTCCCTGGCTTTACTCTCACCCAAAAAAAACTGGATCAGGCACTTTCGCCACTTATAAAGCTCAGAAACATGGGCTCCTCAGCTTGACCACTTCCTTGTATATGTCACTAAAAATTGCCAATTAATAAAAAGGCACACAATTTAACAAAACATACCACACGAACTGTCCTCCTCAAAATATGTACGTAATCAAAACAATGCTGGGATAATCAGGAGTACAAACTGGATTGAATACCGTTTATATCACTTTGTGCTCACATGTACAATTCTGACGATGACTACAAAGCTAATAAACAATGACTTTTTACTAACCACATCCCTGAAAAACAAGACTCAAAAATAGCCACATTAATCACAAGCCTCAGGGGGGCAGCAATAAAGGTCATGAAGAGTAAAAACATAAAATAATACCAATTAAGAGTCCAAGCCCACTGAGAACACTATTTTTAACATTACCAGCAGAGTAAGCATTGTAAGCGTTAGTGTTACTACTACTACTACCTTGAATGCCAGCATTTCACTGACCCGCAATGCACTGTTTGCATCCTTGGTAGTGAAATATTTAACCCGTTGAGTAGCAGAGTGGAGAGCTATATATAGTTCACCACTCTAAAACTAGAGGGGTAAAATAAAACCCTAGCATAAGCCAAAACAAAATCTACCGTACAAAGCCTGTTATATAGGCAAAATATTCAGTACCAGAGAGGCAGCAAAGAATTAAAAGACAATACTTAACAGATCCCTGATCACTGAATGATTTTATGGCACAAAGGATTTAAATATAGCAGACCTGGTCCCACTCATACTAAAATGGTTTTCTGGCAGACATTGGGCAATAAGACTCCTTCTAAAAACACCCGATATATGGTGTGCCAACCTTCCTGCAATTGTAAACCATGTTCTCTGCACCCATCAAGAGAATAATACTGTTAACTACACTGTCATACATGTAGAAAAAAATATCACAAGCTCTAATAAGCTTACAATAACACTGCACGTAAGTACTTCAAGCTACTAATACGTAAAAAATTCATTACAATATAAGTGCCTGTAAAACTATGTTTTACAGAAACCGGCAGGGTAAAATGGTTATGCTTAGCATTTAAAGCAGCAAGGCTAATTAACAAGACTATTGACAATCAAGCATGTTTTTTGGCACCAGATATTTTCAGTATTACTGAATATAAAGAACACGAAAAACAGACAATTTTTTTTTTTTTTTTTTAGAAAGGGGGATTCTGAAAGGGATCGTGGATTATACTATGATCATTTACTATCAAATAGAAATGTAAACATTTGGCAGCTGGAGGGGCCTGCAATGCATGTTGGACGCTCAACAGGCAGGATAGGGATGAGAGGGGTTTCAGATTGTCTCAATGTGAGACAAAGAAGAAAGAATTTATAAAGCAAAACTTTGTGGGTTAGGCACTAAGGCCAAATCAAGAGTAAGTGACAGTTTAAGAAAAGAGAAAACGAATAAGTGCTTGTAGGAAACTGGGTTGGCTGGTGCTACTAAGCTAAAGGTGAGCACTGGGAGAAATGTCCAATCCCACCAGCTAAAGTCAAATCAAATACCAACGGTCACTTGCAAAGTGCGATAATGATTAATAGAGCAGCTCCATCGGCTGAAGCAACGACAGCACAGACACGGATAAAGACACAATCACTTCATAGGCTGGTGCGCAAAAGCGGATAGTTCTTCCTCGTGGATTCTCTGAGGAAGTGCCACCTTGTTGTCTATATTCTACCCCGGCGGGAAGCCCGGAAGGAAAAGCGTATGAAACGGCGGTGGCACCTGGTGTTCCTGTCCTGGTCCCGGATCTTCTTCTCCATTTCAGCATCTGTGAGGGTCTCCAGGAGGGGGCACCACTGGTCAGCATCACCTGTATTCCTGATGGCAATCTCAACTGTCGGCAAAGGATTTTCACTAAAACAGAATACCAAGGCACACAAGATAATTACAAATGAGAGGTTGCAATATTATTGTGAATAATCCATAATTAAGCCAATAAAAACAAACAAACAAAAATGGGATCCTGGTACCAAAAACAGAAACAGCTATGCATCCACAGATTCAATACCCTTTCCCTAATGTTCAAACCTGCAGATGGATTTGAATAAAATGTTTATTTTCTAAAAATGACAATAAAAACAAAAAACAAAACCTATATTGTGTTTTTTAGTTTTCACGCCACTTTGTTTGAAAACGTATAATGTCGTTTTAGATATAAACAGGATTTCCAATCTTAACTTAGAATGAACGTGATAGGATATGGATTAACATCAGAGCATATTTCCTATGAACAAAGAATGTCATAACATTATTAAATGCATCTGTAAACAATGCTGGCTTTCCAATTTAGATCCTTGTCCTGTTACGTGCGTAGCTGAAAGAAGACTCTTTCCCTGCATGTTTTCATCCCTGACTACTGCAGATTAGATGGAACAATTTTATATTCTTTAAACAGTTAGAGTAATCTGGACAAAGAAGTATTAATGGGAGGAGAGAAGCAGAACACAAGACAGAATTTATGTTCCAAGGTTAAGGAGTCACTTCAGAAAGACTGCTTCACACACTTAAGAGAACGTAAATAAAATATAAAACAAACAAGGAGCCAAATTTAATGTCTAGAAACAGCTCTGGGCTATATTTAGTTTTCTACAAACCTAAAAATTTAAACTGAAGCAGACCAACTCCTTACATGGTTGAATATGAAACCTTGTAGTCCTAGGCTTGTCGTGGAATACAAAAGGCACAGTCTAGACTGCTTATTAAAAAATGTATGTGACACTGCAGACCGTATTTACTACTGCCATAGTCATAAGTTGGAAACCTGATAGAAGTAACTACAAAATAGGTGAGCTAGACATGTGGGAGAAATGTGTACCCATATAGTACACAGTAGATTTTAGAACATTACCAGTTTTAATCAAACTACATAATAATAATAATAATAATAATAAAAAAAAAAAAAGATTATCTTTAAAGGGGAATTGACACAGGCTGATCAAGTGTTAATTTTGTTTATGACTCACTAGGGACTTTATAATTTACAATGTATGGCTTATCTGACCCAAGTGCATGTGAACAAAAGCCACCAGCAGCATCCGTTCACTTGAACAATAGCTTCCAATGTTGTGCCATTGAGATGTATCATATGCATGGATGGATGGTGTCTAAAGTATCCCTTTAAAGTTAAAAGGCAAAACTGGATCCCTCACGAAATAGTTATTACTACCACACACAGAAGAAGCATATCATCTGATGGCATGTAAAAACCGATTGCTTTTCAAACTTTCTTTGAAAACATGCGCACCATTTTACAGGCAATTTGACATTTCTGCTATATAATTAGCACTTGCTGGAATACCAATTGCTGGCAGCTGCCTTTCTTATAATTTAGATATAACTTGAAATTTGATTCAATCATTTTCTACTCTAATATTAAATCCCAAACTCCACTATTTGTGATGTATACCCACCAGGAGAGGTGAAAAGGGTAAAATATCCATTGCAAATAATTAGTGAATTAGCGCTTACCTGAATGCATAGGTCTTCTGGTGCCAGCTAAGCTGCCCTCGAATGCTGTATGCAATAGTGGTAACAAATTCCCCGCCCAACCCAAGTTCTGAACATAACTTCAAGGCAAACTTCTCTGGGGAATTCTCCTTCTCTGACATGTCCCACTCAAACTGGTCCACCAAGGAAATATTTCCAACATGGATATTAAGCTGGGAAAAGACAATGGACAAAACTATAAATCAGAAAAGTTAGGTCACTTTCTCGTAACGCTATGTACATTATACATTAGCCATAGAGGGCCTTGTGGTATCTCATACAGATTTAATGGTTGCATTCTAACTGTGCAGTTAGAGAAAGCTATTAAACACATCTTCCTACTGAAAACTGTAGGGATACACAGATCATGAAAGTTTGTTATTTCTGCCAGTTTACACTAAACCCCTGCTTAAGAGTACAGTCAATATAATTACAAACATATGAAATTCTATCACGCTACCGAACATTCTACTTACATTTGTATAAAGAGTAAGAAATGATCATAAATGAATGCATGTATTCTCACTTTATTTTACTGACAAAGTGAAGGTTAACTGGTCAAGAGCTGACTGAAATTGTTAGATCAAGAAAGGTTTGGGTAGACTCTGATGTTTGTCTTCATACACAACACAAGAATCAACCTCCGAGATTGGGTATACAAAAGCTCCCTTTCATGTTAGTATGTAGTATTTCAAAAGGCTTGATAGCATACAGGCCTCATGCAGTCACATGGAACTAGAAGTCTAGAAGGTGAAATGTGTGAGATTAAATCTTGTCCCAACGCTTATTCTACATGTATGGACTAACATCTCTAAAATCACATTTGCATGAAAGACTTTCCACATGCGAGGTCTTGGATGTTTATACTTATAGTTGTTGATTGGTGGATGATCCACCTGTTCTTGTACAGAAGCTTATATTTGGAAGCGTACTCTCATGTTTAGCCTACATAAGGCCTGCATCTAAATTAAATTTTTTTCATGTACCTTGATGATTACTCTCTGGTCGGACTGGTCCTCTAGGATACTGTCAGTAGGATAAGATTCAATCTGTTGGCGGATGGCTGATGCAATAGCCGGGACAAATGCTAATGGGTTCAGATCCAGGTCATCACAAAGAATCTCTGCAAACATTTCTGGAGTCATTAATTTTTCTGTTTGAAAGAAAAAATAAAACCTTAAAAATGCTCACAGTTAGACAGATGACCTCAAATACCACCATCTCTAAAAAGGGTTATGCTTATTAGTCTAAGAAATAAAAGTGCCTGCAAACTAACAAATGCAATTTTACTAAAACTGCAATGTGCATACACCCACAATAGAAATTGATACTGTACCAATAAAGGGAAGCTTTAATACTCTTCTGACTAGATTGAAGGTAGACAAGGCTGGAACCCATTTACACAAAAATAAATAACTTAAAATAATCACATATTTTCCAAGCAACATATTGACTTGGATACTGGTTAATAATTCCTAAATTGTGTGCAGATAACTTTCCAGCAGAATATTACAAAGTTCACCAAACTGTTCTATGCCATGAACAGTAAATATTACCTAGACACTTAATGTGTTTATTTTGAGATAAAACAGAAATCCAGAATCAATATGACACATCATAATGCTATCCTACCATTCATATTCCATGTAAAGGCGTCTCGCAGTTTCTGCCCATCTATCTCCATGTCCAGTCGAATAGGAACAAGTACCTCAGGCTGAGAGGCATTCTCATGGATTACTGCTGGATCATGATCATCAAAGCTATACATCAATCACATGAGAGTGAATAAGTAATGAAATGAACACATTCAAAGACAAAAACCATCACTTTTTCTTGCAGTTATACATCTAAAAAGTGATGGGCACTCACAAATTTTTTTTATATTGCATTCATATCTATACATCAACATAAAATGCATACAGTTAGCACTGGTTTACAAAAAAAAAAAAAGCCCTATGGAGGAATTTCTGTGCATTGTCATGCCTGGGGACCTTTACAAAAAACAAACAAAGAACCCCCCAACAACTACCACCCCACATGAAACAATACAAGGTGACGCGATACCACTTGTTTGGTGGCACCTGCTGAGAAAGTGGTAAGGGCTTTCCCTTCTTCCTTACTTGCCATTCACCATCATGTTTAGATCTCGCTTTACTGGCACAAAACAGGGGTCTACAGAAGGCACTGCAGGGAAATCCAAAAACTCTTCTCGTTCATACCCCGTGAGATACCATAGATATTTATTGTATATCACCTGAGAAGATGCCCATTCCCACCAGCCATTACCAGTAATGCCTGCTTAGGTATTGTAAGAAGCAGCAGTGACGCGGTTTGAAGAAATACCTTTTGCCACAAACTGACGTGTTCATAAAATTATGAACATTATTGTATACAATATTTTCAAATATATTTGACTGTGCTTTACGTTTTTCATAAACAATTTAAATTAAGTAATAACATCAAGCAAAATAGCTTACTTTAAACTTTAATTTCTATATCTCAGCTAATAGGCGGGGATTTCCTCTCTACCTTTTGTAAAACACGTGAAAGTCACACCGAGAAGATTATGCCAGGGCTTAAAATGTAAAGCCCCATGCTACAGGTCAGGCCTTAAAAGTTACTCACCAATGCAAGGCTGCAAGGCATAGCATATTCGCCAGGTCTAAATTTTCACTTGACAATGGCTAATGGTTACGCTTCTCTTTTTTGTGTGATATGGTTTTCTTTTAAATGTATATTTAAAGATTGCTCAAGGTACATCATAATGGATCTCAGTCTAGGCACACAATGCAAATGAAAATAAACACTGGGTGTTATCAAAGTGTGCCATTCTAAAAATTAGTGCAAAATGTAAAAAGGGATGAGCCACTAATAGAATGTGCCTGCTTGTTCCACTGTTTTCTATGGTGATTGCCCAACTTTTAGTACGTAAGACCCCTTCTTAGGACAGAACACTTTGAGAAACTTCCCCTTTTGTTTCTATGTCAAGACTTCCACTAAATTCAATGAAAGAAATTTGCAACATTAATAATGATTGTCTGGGAGCCAAGTTACAGGATAAAGGTATATGTAGACGTGTGAATTTCTACATTGACTTCTTCAGACTTTGCAAACATATTTGCTAGATATAGGGGATAGGTAAATACAATAGTTCGATTCTTAGGAGGTAAAAGTTTCCCTTTACATAAACAGATATGTATCACAATATTTTGATTTAAGACTGAAGAAACAATTTAAATTGCATAATCTTGTTTATGGTTTTCTATATAATTTGAGAGGAAGCCTTACCAGAGTGGGAAGGTTCTCTTCTTATCACGACCCATGCGGTTCCTGTTGATAGTAGTAGAGCACGGCACAGCATCGAGGTGATGGGAGCTGTTAGGCAATGTTGGAACCCACTGGCTGTTCCGCTTTGCCTTCTGTTCCCTGCAAGAAACATAAATATTAAGTCACAAATGCTTATGAGTCAGTCAACTGAAGAATGATGTACACAAATCTAGTGGATTAAAAAACACCAATCAAATCAGTTTAACACAGGGCAAACTTCTGGGTCTTGTTGCTAAAAGAACATTTCTGATATTCTTATCTGATAATTACTTTTGTTAATCTTAACATTTTTGTGTATTTTAAATAAAAGTAGACAGAACCAGGCACTCACTGTGTCTGGTGCATTGGTATCAGGGACTCAACCCAAATATGAGATCTCTCAAAACAGTCCTATGTGAATTTGTATATCATGCATCCAACAAACTGAAAAAAGCTGACAAGTACGAGGGGGTCTATGTAGTAATGAATTGTTATAAACTATCCAAATCCATTTAGACGGGAAAAAATAAAAATTTAGTCTAATGCAAAGGAAAGGGTTGTGTTGTTTATTTTAAAGTACAGTAATAACAATAGGGATATGTGGTATAGGTGGTTTTATCAGAGTCTGTACAGATGTTTAAACAGCAACTGGATGAATACTTGTAAAAACATAATTTTTAATAAGTGGGGTAACAGCTTCTTGATCCAAGAAGAGACCTGACTGCCATTCATAGGTGAAGGAATTTTTTCCTAGTTTGTTGCAAAATTGGAAGGCAGGTCAAGCTGGGTTTTTTTGGAATAGCAAAAACATATGTGAGAAAGGCTGAACTTGAAGCAAGTCTCTAAACAGCTATGCAACTATGAACAAAACAAAACTGAAGTATTATTTATGATGTTTAAGTTCGTTAGGGCTGGCCTGCTTTACCTCCTGTTCACGTACATCATACGTGTTTTGTTGGAATTAACCCCTTAAGGACTGAGCCAAATGTACACGTTTTTATCAAAATAAAACGTAAACAAAACTTGGAATTTGACTATGTGAATGTTCAACCGTAATTCACCTCTTTCATATTAAGTGCACCCACACTTATTATATATAATTTTATTGAGGAGAAATAGGGCTTTCATTTAACATCAAATATTTAGCTATGAAACATAATTTAATATGAATAAAATATAAAAATAAAAGTGAGAAATTAACATTTTTTAAAAACTTTTTTTAGTTCTGCATGACATTTTATCTGTGAATGTCATAATACGGTTTGCTTTTAATGCACTAAAATACACATATTTGTATTCAGCAATGTCTCACGTGTAGCCCAGGAATGAGAATTACCCCCATGATGACATACCATTTGCAATAGTAGACAACCCAATGTATTACATATGGAGTATGTCCGGTCTTTTTTTGTAGCCACTTAGTCACATATGGTCTCAAAGGCAATGTTGCCAATCTGGTGAATTTCAATTTGATAAAAAACTGAAACAAGCCTTATATTTGACTCTAACTTTTGAAAACGACATAAAACATGTACATGGGGGGTACTGTTGTACTCAGGAGACTTTGCAGAACACAAATATTAGTGTTTTTTTTTTTTTTAAACCCTAAAACGTATCACAAGAATATCGTCAGTGTAAGTGCCATTTCTGAGAAAAATGCAAAAAAACATCACTTTCACTGATGATATCATCGTTGTAATACATTTTACTGTTTTAAAACACTAATATTTGTGTTCAGCGAAGTCTCCCGAGTAAAACAGTACCCCACATGTACAGGTTTTATGGTGTCTTGGAAAGTTACAGGGTTAAATATAGTGCTAGCAAATTAAATTCTCTGGACTTTCTGCCCGGGTTATCAGGCAGGTCCCGCAAATTGTAATTAATAAAATTAAATATCTAAAATATATGTAGAATAAAAAAAAATAAAAAATAAAAATTATATATAGATATAGATATATATCTATCTATATATCTATTTCATTCCAAGTTTATTTTGATATCTATATATAAATATCAAAATACAGTTAGAATGAAATTACACATTTTTTAATTATTTTTATTTTTTCATTTTTAATGTATTTTATATTTATTTTAGAATATATATTATAATTTTATATATATTTAATATCATTCTACGTGTATTTTGATATTAATATATATATTTTACTATTAAAACACACTTAGACAGTAGATATGTATACATACACAGATCATATACATACACACACACACACATATATATATATATATATATATATATATATATATAATGATCTAAGTATATATTATTTTACAATGTATTTTTATTAAACTTTATTTCATGCAGCAGGGGGACTACCTGTCATTCCAGTCACTCCTCCTGCTGGCAAAGCTATTTACCTATTGTAAATCTGCAGGATACGTTGACACTATACAAATGATTGCAATAATAGCGTTTGTCAGGATATTTTTATTGGGAATCTGAACACCACTATCTCAATGGGTGGCACATTATATGATAAATGAAAATCTCTAGATTGTTTTGTTAAATTCTAGGCATGATGTAAAGCCTATGTCTTTATGTTGCAATTATCTTTTACATTTTCTTTTTGATGAACTTGTATTTCTTCAGAGGTTGTCCAAGACAAAAGATAATCCATAATATGCCTAAAGTACTGTTTTATTGGACTATTTCGGGACAAAACCAAAGTGGAAAAAAATAAAAACAGAACACAAAAAAACACAATTGTCATCAACACACACTCCTATAACATTTTATTCTAATTTTCTCATAATTTAACTCAACCATGATTACTTTTTATTTATTCAGCAAATTGTTCACCTAATTTCAAAATCATTTTTTTTCTTTTTTTTAAATGACACACATTACAAAAAACTGACAATAATCCCAATGTAGTGCAGCACAGATTACTTGGAATGTACAAGCATTATTCTAGATTGATTCCCTTTAAGTCACTAACCTGAGGTAGGTTGGAGGTTCTGTGCTGATAGAAACAGCTTTATATTTTTCATCATTTCCATCAAGGATCTCCTCGACTTCAGAAGCTTTCAGTAGTGTGACGCTTGTAGCTAATGTTGTATACCCATGATCTTAAAAGAACACAGCAAACAGTCAGAAAGAACAGCAATCCCATGGTGCATTTAAAGTGAACATTTACGGTCATCTACCCATAAGGCCATTACCAAAATCTTTATTATTATATCTTAACTATGAATAACATCAATGCTAAATATGATCCATAAATATAGCTAACAAATGGTACTCTACCCATTAGGGGGAGCAAGGCTAAAAAAAAAAAAAAGCACTCAAGTGCTTATGGTACAAATGCATTTAAAGGAACACTGTGGACAACACAACTTAATATAAATTAAGTTGCTCTGATGCCAGGAGGCCCCTTGGTGCATTCTTACTTGAAGGAGTTAAACCGTTCTTGAATGATTTAACTCCAACGGTTGCCTCCAGTGCTGGATCTCCAGTTCCTCCAGCGGTATTCGGTTTCTCAAACTGAGTTTTAGGAAGTGCCGCTGGGCAGAGGGGCCGCTGATTGGCTAGAATGGTCAGCTGACATTCCAAATCAGTCAGTTTCAACTGATTATTTTGAGAACCCGAGTTCACTCTTTAGGTTCATGCAGATATGACGAATTTCAATTTGTCATTATCACCAATTATTACCAATTTGGACAAAAGTGAACGCTTATATTAATAGCTATTGCCGTCAAGAAAAATTTGGAAGTGGTTTGAGAAAAAAAAAACCAAAAAAAACAGAGGAACTAAACAAAGGTTCAACACCACACTGAAAAACTGCACTAAAAAATAGAATAGTGATAATTAAAAAATCGTTCATAGAAAAATGTCTGCAATTTTCAGTGTTGTAAAGCATTCACCAAGTAACAATCAAAACAATCCAGGTTCATACATAATCTAACCATACAATATTTAACCTAAAAAAATGTCATTAAAGGAACACTATAGCGTTGGGAATACAAACCTGTATTTCTAACACCATCACCCCCCTTTGTGGTTTGTTTTAGGTCCCTCTCCCAGTTTCATGTAAAAATCTGAATGGTTTCCCATGGGCATCTACATCATGTGACAATTTTATTTGATCAGTGTATAGGAAGCATGTCTAGCGGCTGTCATATGACCCTGCAATGTAAACACTGATTTATGTGCTTCCTCTTTTTATTTTGCAAAAAGTGCAGATTTCAATAGAAATGAACACTTTTATAATTAGACCCCTTGGCTTCCAAGCGGACAACAGGTCCCGCTACTTCCTAGTTTGGTTAGCTAAGTGGAGCTAAACTTAAGAGGCAGCAATTGCTCAGAGCACCTGCCTTGCAAAGACTTCTCTTTGAGCAGCATTGGGAAGTCTGTGATTTGCCCCCCACAGAAAGTCTGCGCAGGGTTAGAAGGGTTTGCAAAGCCTGCAGAGAAAATAACTGCAGGTTTTGCAAGCTGTTTATAGAAACATAGAATGTGACGGCGGATAATAACCATTCCGCCTATCTAGTCTGCCCAATTTCTAAATCTTTTCATTAGTCCCTGGCTATGCCTATCCCACGCATGCTTTTCAGAATCTTAGGTAATGTCCATTTGGGTCAACCAGTAGAAGATTCAGGCCAGTGGTTCTGTTCTAATGATGTGTATTAGGTCTTGAGTTGGAGAGATAGTTGAGCACTTTTCTGCACTTGATGGATATATTTAAGCCTCAGATATTTCAAGAGGTTACTAGATATACATACCTTTAAAGTGGAGGAGAACGCTATATCGGTCAGTACCCTGATAAGGAAAGATTCCTCTTCTGCAACTGTCACTAATCTAATACTATCCTTACTTTTTTGTGTCATTTTACCCCACTCCCTTAGCATGTAAGCTCATTGAGCAGGGCCCTCAAGCCCTCTGTTCCTGTGTGTCCAACTTGTCTGGTTACAACTACATGTCTGTTCGTCCACCCATTGTAAAGCGCTGCGGAATTTGATGACGCTATATAAATAAGAATAATAATAATGCTTAAACTTCTTAACTGTGTTAACCTCTACCATTTCAGCTGGAAGGCTATTCCAAGCATCCACTACCCTCTCAGTAAAGTAATACATACTACCTGTCTTGTCTTTCCTCCAAGCTATACATTTTAAGTTCCTTTAACCTTTCCTTGTAAGTTTTATCCTGCAATCCATGAAGATATACCCCCAATGTAAAAATACATAATTAAATGCAAGTAAATTTCATTTGGGGTTTATATACTAAACAGTGATTTTTATGTATTTTGTATCTGGGCAGACAGTATCCCATTAAGTGACTTACATGCATTAACAATTGAAGTATCTCATGTACTGTCAAGAAAGACTATTTTCAAATTACTTACAAAGACCAAAAACAACTCTTCTTATGTTATACACTGACTGTAATGGCCTTAGTTTAAATTGTATATACTTTTTAGCAATGTAAAATTATATATATATATATATATATATATATATATATATAGGTTTTAGCATTTAGTGCAAATTTAGTGATGCTGCAAGACTTTCTTCTGCTGTGATAAGTAGTGATAACTTTAGTTCTTTTAAAAGAGCATAAAATTCCATATACAACTATACACTGTGCTAAATAAGGTTTACTCCCGTCTGATTTTCAATGATGATAAATTGAAAGCCAGGGAGAAAAGAGGTGACCTCCCACAGCACGTCCCTCTGCTCTCTATCCATAGTATCAACTGTGCATGTGCTGCGGTATGGTCACCACACCACATAGTGGCGCTGATAGTGCAGATAGGAATGTAGTGACTCCATTCAAACGCTGGCACACCAGCAACAAAGCCAGCGTGTCTGCATTAAGGAAGTGTGCCCAAGCAGGGCAAATAAACAAAAGCTGCGGTAGGAGTGCAGGTGGACCGGAGGTTAGTGTTACAGAAGTGTAACTCCCACTATGTAATTAGATTGTGGGAGCAGAGTGCCAGGTAAACCGTGTCAGTTTCCTCCCTTTAAACTGCTGCTTTTTAGTTTTACTTATTTCCAATAAATTAATCACAAAAACTCTTTGCACCATAAACAATAGATTACATACATTTCCGTGACATCACAATTGTACTCTCTCCCCACAACCTTTTATCTCAATGTTTAAAATTTCCCTTAGAGGCAGGGCTCTCTTCTCCTTTTGTGTCCATATGCTTAAACATTTATCCCTTGTTTTTATGATTATTAATGTTATTTTTGCATAAATTATATGGGGCTCTGTACGAGAGCACTATTTAAGAATGGCTAAAGCAATAAATAAAATAAATAAGCAGTGGTGATTATGGTGCTTAGAATTTCCTTTTAATATATGCAGCTAAAATACACATTGCTCAGCTGAATATATACATTCATTTCAAAGTTTAGAATAGAACAGGACTACAATAATATTAATATATGGGGGGAGCAGCTGGCTTAACATTACACCACAACAAGTGCTTTTACACACATTTGAAACCACCTTCTATTACAAGTAAAAGATGTTAAAGATTTGAAAAGAATGTAGAAGTCAGACACACAGAAAAATGCAGGTGTGTGGTGGGAACTCTTCCAACAAAAGAGTCGGGTAACAGATATACAAAAAAAAAAAAACCTAACCATTTACAGATGAACAGCATTAAACATGATTAAAAGGAATAGTCTAAACACCATAATGACTACATCAAGAAAGGTTTGACACTTACCTAGATACCCTGATGCAGCAGTAGTTCAGCTCCATTTTTGCATTAGTTGAATTTGGATGGAATTCATTGGGTCAGAGTCAGCTGATACTCTCAGCCAATGAATTCTGAAAAAAAAAAAAAAAAGGCAAAGTTGATGCTACTAATTTGAAAATAGCTTAAATGATATAAGGAGAGGTGGCTGGACTGCTGGTGCCCATGGGATCAAAGTTGGTGTCAAACTTAATAGAAAGTCTTGGTTATGTACTGAGATATTATGCCAGGGAACCCCTGGCACTATAACTTCTATAATGCTTTGTAGTGGTTATTGTGCTTGGAATGCCCCTTTAACATTTGTTGTTTTTCCAGGTGACCTATATGCTTTGAAGAATAATCCAATATAAGTAAAATATCATTAACGTAAATAACTGTATTTACATTTCTTTCCATGAGAGGATGCAACAATTTTCTTTCGTTCTTCAACTGTTGCCAATCGTCTCCAAAGAGAGGGGTACCGCTTGTATAGTGAACCTCTGAACATGCGCAGAAAGTTACCCACCTGAAAATGAGAATAAGTGTGTCAATTACATGGATATCTCCCACAGTCCTTTTAATTGTAAAAAATACAAAATGGATTGCAATATCCCTGACCTTTATGGACTAATGAAAACAAAGCTCTGTGGGTAATCACTCTCCCTCTATTTAAACGGTTTTATTTCCCCATCACCATACATCTTTTTCATACAGGGATGTGCAAAATCCTCAGTTGACACTTGCTTCCATTTTGTTGTGCAGTGAATATGGAGCGTGATGCAAACAATGCATCTTTTGCAATCAGCATAAATAAACCTATTTCCCTGCACAATGCTTTCATTGCAGGGGGGGATAAAATCTTAGTGCCTTAAAACAGCAGTACATGAAACTATTGTGGAACGATAGGAACACTTTAAGCACCACAACTGCTACAGTGCACAGTAGCGGTTAGGATGCTTAAAGTGCCATGCCCCATCCGCCCGGAAACTTCAAAACCATTTCCAACAAGGCTGTAAAGTCAGTACAGAAAGCCTTCAACTAAAACTCTATTTATGGTACCACCAACCACTACAGAGAGCGGTAGTGATTATGGAGACAAGAGTGTCGCTTTAATAAACTCTGAAAATAAAAGGATAGAGGATTAATGAGTCGATAAGGAAACCATTACCTGTCATGACACTGGCAAGTATGTATTGTAATAAAACATTTTATCTTATTCAATTTCTTCTGGTGAAATATTGTATTTCATTTTAGTATACTTAAAGGGATATAGATTGTGTTTAATTAAGCTACAGATTTAAAATTCAACAAAAAGCTGTTCACAGGAGTCAGAATAGATTCACTAACTTGGCGCACTGACATATTTCTACACCCAGATAGCCCTAACCTTGTAACTTTGAACATCTAATTCATAACTGTCAAAATTATATGGGACAGGCAGTTGCTATGAATATTAACACATTGTTTTCATGTACATGTGTACACATGTTTCTTTGGTGTATTGGCCATAAACTGAGACAACAAATCCATTTACAGACACTAACTAAATCACAATACAATCCCTTAAAGGGGATGTATATATATTACTATTGTCTCATTCTTTAATTCCCTGATCGGTGTCCAGTGGTACAACACTAGCTGTTGCGGACAAATACCCTCACTCACTACTCCCAGCCATCCATCTGAGGTCCCAATGCCACAGGTTTGCCATGTGTGATGGCACATTGTCAATGTATACACACACACACACACACACACGTGTAAATTGTGCAATGGCACATGTTCAATGTACATACACGTTTTTAGGAAGGTCTGCGCTAAACAATAAAGCAGGTGTGAGTGAATGTATACTGTGTATTAATTCCTTGTCCCATGCCACTAATCCCCCTCAGTAAGCAGGCACACTGCCCTCCTGACTCTGCTCCTAACACATGATATGAATGGTTATAGAAGTCTTGTTATGGTGACTCCCCCTCCCCCCCCCAGTCCTTTGTCCAAGGCCTGTCCTTCCATTATAGCAGCCCTGGCTTATTAAACGCCAGCAAGAGGCCGGCTGGGGGGCTCATACCTCGGAGCCGATCATGTAGAACTCCCCATCCTCCTCCAGCTGGAATTTCACCGGCTTTTGGCCGAACGTTTTACTCAACGCCATGATCATCCTGCCGCCTCCTAGCGCCGGGCCCGCCGCACTGAGCATGCGCGACAGGAGAGAGAGACGGCCTCCGGAGCGCGCATGCCTCGTAATGCAACGAGACTGTGCGTCATGCGCGTGCGCACGTCTTACGTAAGCGGAGCATGCGCGCTGTTAGTTGCGTGTGCTTAGCAACCAGTCTAGGATAAGGAGGCAGAAACCGCCATGCTTCCTGTTCCTGCCAGGCTTAGAGCTCGTGTCACAGTGAAGGGCAAAGTAGCTGAACTAAACAGAGAACCGGCTTTTTATAATTCGGCAGTTTTCTTTTGTAGTGAATTTTGAAATTCACTTCACAGGGTTATTCACTAAAGTGAGAATTCAAAGTGAAATATAAAGGGACACTAGAGTTACCAGAACAACTACAGCTTAACCCCTTAAGGACTGGACTGTTTTTGCGATGTTGTACATTTGCGACCAGGCATATTTTTACACTTTTGTGGTGTTTGTGTTTAGCTGTAATTTTCTGCTCTCTCACTTAGTGTTCCCATACAAATTATATATTGGTTTTTTTTTCAGGACAAAAGGGGCTTTCTTTACATACCATTATTTATATAATCTCATGTAATTTAATTTTTTTTTAAATGATGAAAAATTGAAAAAAATACATGTTTTTTGACTTTTACTTGAAAAATCTTTTACTCAACTACAAAAGCGAATTTAAAAAAAACTGCTAAATAGATTCAAAATTTTGTCCTGAGTTTAAAAATACCCAGTGTTTACATGCTTTTTTGCTTTTTTTTGCATGTTATAGGGCTATAGGTACAAGTAGGATATTGCGGTTTCAAAACATACATTTTTAAAATTTATCAATAGTGACATTGTAACACTATTATCTGTCATAAATCTCTGAATAACACCCCACATGTACATATTTTTTTTAAAGTAGACAACCCAGGGTATTCAATATGGGGTATGTCCAGTCTTTTTTAGTAGCCACTTAGTCGAAAACACTGGCCAAAGTAAGCATTCATATTTGTTTGTGTGTGAAAAAAGTAAAAAAACTAAATTGAACGCTAATTTTGGCCAGTGTTTGTGACCAAGTGGTTACTAAAAAAGACTGGACATACCCCATTTGCAATACCTTGGGTTGTCTTCTTTTGCAAATGGTATGCCATCATGGGGGTAATTCTCATTCCTGGGCTACCATACGCTCTCAAAGGCAACGTAACCAACCTGGCCATTTTCAATGTAAAAATATTTGACCCATATATTTGACCCTGTAACTTTCAAAAATACTATAAAACCTGTTCATGGGGGGGTACTGTTTTACTTGGGAGACATCGCTGAACACAAATATTAGTGTTTAAAAACTAGAAAATGTATCAAAACAATTATATCATCAGTAAAAGTGCTGTTTGTGTGTGAAAAATGCAAAAAAAGTCACTTTCACTGACAATATCATCGCTGTGATATGTTTTACTGTTTTGAATCACTAATATTTGTGTTCAGCGAAGTCTCCTGAGTAAAACAGTACCCCCCATTTACAGGTTTTAGGGTGTCGTAGAACGTTACAGGGTAAAATACAGTGCTAGCAAATTAAATTCTCTGGACTTTCGGCCTGGGTTGGCAGGCAGGTCCCTCAAATTGCAATCAATAAATTTACTTAATTATGTAAAAATATTACATAAATACGCACGTAGAATTTAAATATATATGCATATTTATATATTTGAAGTCTACGTGTATATTTATATAATTATGTAATTTTGTATATGGACAGATGTATATTTTGTATTATTTTTATTTATTTATACATACATAGATATATATACAAATTCATTCTAAGTGTATTTGATATAAATATATATATATTAATTTTAAAATACAGTTAGAATAAAATTTCATATAGATATATATTTTTTTTCCAATTTTTATTATTATTTAAAAAAAAAATTAATTTAATTTAAATTACTTATTTATATTTTATAATAATATATACATATACAATATATATAGTTATTATATATATACGTGTGTAATTTAATTATAAGTGTATTTTTATATTAATATAAGTACATATTAATATAAAAATACACTTAGTATGACATTATATATATGATGACATATATAATTTTTTTTATTTTTTATAAACACTAACTTTATTTTTTTTATTTTTTTATTTTACACTAGCAGGGAGACTGCCTGTCAGCACAGACAGTCCCCCTGCAGGCAGACACATGGACACCTATTGTGACCATGTGATCGCTGTGTTAAGCGATCACATGGCCACAGGGGTCCTAACTCAGTGTGGGGAGACTGTCTGGGCTGCAGGCAGTCTCCCCACAATGGGAGCAACGCTGATCGCCGCCGGGGGAACAACGGCGATCAGGTAAGTAACTAGGATCGTTAGGACGGTTCAGGACCGTCATCGGTCGGCAATGAGAAAATGCCGATGACGGTCCTGAACCGTCCTCGGTCCTTAAGGGATTAAAGGAGCACTCCACTGCCCACAAGAAAAAATATACAAAATTGTTTAGTAGATATACGCCCCAATTAATAATGCACAAATTTCCAGGCATGTATTCATTTGGGGTATATATTAAAAGAGCTTACAAAGGCTGCAGATTGTATAAACTGCAGCCATAGCAAGCCCCCCCCCCCCCCTTTTATTAACCAATCAGAGGCGTCTCATTGAAAAGCCTCTAAATTGGTGCACACGTGCATAACAGCTCGTGCAAGAGCGCACACGTCTGGTCTGAGGTCTGCTGCTGGTCTGTGAGGGGGAGGCAGGCACACTCAATGTGTCTGCCACTTCCGTTCGCTCAGGGGAGTTTGATTGACAGCCACGGGGGGTGTTTCCTAGCAGATTTCACATAGAAATCAGGACATTTATGAACTGGGGTTAAACCAGGCTACTTCTCACCCATAAAGCACTTTAGTAAGCTGAAGTGCTTTTGGGTTTGGAGTGGTCCTTTAAAGGGACTCTACAGTCACCAGAACAACTGTTGGACTTATCCTTAAGGACACAAGCAAATGTAAAAATTTTTGCTGTTTGTGCTCAACTGCAATTTGCATCTTTCTCATTTATTGCACCAACACATATATACCTTCTTTTTTTTTTAAAGGACATTAAGGGCTTTCATTTGATGTGGCGTACATATATAAATTCTCATTTATTATAAAAATGTACCAAAAAAATACGTTTTTTTCACAGCTTTTTCAATAATAACGTGTGCATAATAATTAGTGCAGCTTAAGAAAAGTAATTCAAAATAAATGAATTTAGTTGTCCTGATTTAGCTCATATCATATTTCGTTTCTTGATGAGGAGTTGTTTTTATATGTTACATTAGGTATCATGTAGGTACCCTCTGTTCTTTTTGGTTGCCCACGTTAGACCAAGCCATGTATTGGTCCCCACTACCTATATTGCATACCAGACCTCACTGTTGTTTCCCTGCACTCCCACAGCACAGGTATACCGGCCTTATCACCTAGGGAGCAAGACTCGCATAAGCCGTTACTATTCGCGCTTTAGTAACGCACATCAGACCTTCTTCTACATGCTTATTTAACCTCAAATATACCTATGCCACCGATAACCCTGCTGTTGTACGGAAACTGCTCTCTTCATAACTTAACAAGCTGATGTTTTTCTTTAAAAATAAAAAAAAAATACGAGGAGTAAAATAAAATTTTAATGTGGAGTGATTTTAGATTTTGGTATATTTGTCTTGTAACGTTAATATCCATTTCAGAAAACAAAATTGCCACACAAAAGTATATATTTATATAAAGCAGACATCACAGGTTATTTACCCAGGGGTATTTTGACCCTTTTTCATAGCCATTTAACAGCCAAATGCTATATAGTGTAGTACAATTGTGTTTCTTCTGATTTTCAACATATACACATGTAACAAAGTTGTTTTAATGTGTGTTTCATAAACCTAATGTGTACTACTCCTGTAGTTTTGTTCAGCTACATCTTCTGAGTAAAACGATACTCCCAATGTTTGCCTTTGCCGCTATCCTATGAAGTTACAGTGTCATAAATGAGACTTCACCATTCCAGTTTACACAGTTAGAATTTTTATAGATGAATTTGATGGATGAAGTTTCATTTAGGGGCATTGTATCAGTTCGACTTTTGAAATTATCCCACAAAAGCCTACAATTTGTGAAAGTAGACACTCCAGAGTATCTCATATGGTGTATATTGTGCCTTAACATGATTGCATTTGCCAAACTTTGTGGCAAAATATTTTTTGTTCACATTTTTACATACATATTACATTTTTGCTAGCCATTTTATCCATATATATGTGCCTCAAAATTATGTTCAGTAAACTGTTCTAAACAAAACAATAACCCCCAATGTATGTTTTTGTCACTATCATGTTAAGTTACAGTGCCGTAAAATAGTCCTGACCATTACTGTTTTTACAGTTAGAATTTTTATAGATGAATTTGATGGATCTATGTCCTATTTTAGGGCGTTGTAGCAGTTTGACAATTAAAATTACCCCATAAATGCATACCATTTGTGAAAAAAGACACCACAGGGTATGTCCTATGGTATATTTTTAGCCTTATTATATAGCCAGTTTAGCACCATTTTCTTTCAAATGTTATTGTATTATTTTATTTTTGTACACACTTTGCCCTTTAGCGGTTTATTTTGGAAACTTGATACATCCTACAGTAATAAAAATCACTAAATTATGCTCAGCTATATTTTCCTGAGTACAGAATGACCCCCTTTACATACCTTTGTCAGGTTTTTGTGAAAATACAGTGCTGAAATTATATCCTGTCCAGTACAGGTTTTGGAAAAAAATGCAAATTGAAGATGGGTCTTTGGTGCATTTTGGGGTATTTTAATATCTGATACATTTATGTTACACCATAAATGCATACCATTTGCAAAAGTGGACACCATGGGGACACTCCCATAACATATCTTGAATCTTTATTGAAGTGACATTTTTCTTCATTTTGTGGTATTCATTTTTATTTTAAAATTTTTACATACACATAGTATTTTTTATGCTTATTTCTAAAACCTTGTGTGTCCCACTGTAATAAAATTATCTTAACTGTACTCAGCAACATCTCCTGAGTACAACAATACCCCATATGTGTTGCATTTTCCAGTTCCAGTTATGCTTGTTGTTACAATGCATTCCTTTATTTGGCTTTTATCTATTTTATTTCATGAGCTATCTCAACTAGAGCACTGTATAGCACAAGATATAACATTAGGAAATCGTTATGTATAAAGAACAACCATACTGCGGGTGACCTTTATTCTTGCTACATACATAGCCGTGCCTGCAAGATATAATGCTTACCATCAGCTAATAAATATTTGAGTTGTACCCATCCACTAGGCTTATACTCCAGACCCAAGAGACCAGTCAACAGAAGATTTAGGCTGCTCACTGTTTAATAGACATGCCCCTACTCACGGTATAGACCAATTTAGGTCTTTCAGCCTTTTAGTAGATAGCTCCCTAATACAGTGGGAATTAGGGAGTTATCTACTTATTCATTCCTGTTATTACATTGACAGGCTAAGTAACTTACATTTTATATGAATGTATGTTACTTGATTGTTGTAAGTGTTGCAAATGCTTACAGCTGAATCCTGGCTATGTTTGTATACTTTTTATTTAAAATTGTATACAATGTAACATTCTTCTTCTTTCACTGGGTAAGTATATTAGTACTTAGGCAATACTCTGCTTCGGAACTTCGGCACCTCGGCACTTTGACACTTCGGAACTTCGGCAACTTCTGAACTTCGTCACTTCGGAAATTCGGTAATTTCGGAACTTCGGGACCTCTGCAATTCGGCACTTCGGCAATTCGGACATTCGGAAGTACCCGAATGTCCGAATTGCCCCATATTCATCTTCGGACCGAAACAAATTGCACATGTCTACCAGCTATTAGAAAAGGACCCAACCTCTCAGTATATGGATAGACTTAACCCCTTAAGGACACAACTTCTGGAATAAAAGGGAATAGTGATGTCCCGAACTGTTCGCCGAATGGTTCGCCACGAACGGTTCGCGAACGGTTCACGAACGGTTCGCCACGAACGGTTCACCGCGGACTCCAGTCAGCTGACACATTCCAGCCAATCAGCAGCAAACCCTCCCTCCCAGACCCTCTCACCTCCTGGACAGCATCCATTTTGAAGCTGCATTCTTAGTGAGCTGTCCAGGAGGTGGGAGGGTCTGCTGCTGATTGGCTGGAATGTGTCAGCTGACTGGAGTCCGTGGCGAACAGTTCGTGGTGAACCGTTCGCAAACCGTTCGGCAAACAGTTCGGGACATCACTAAAAGGGAATCATGACGGAATTTTTCCGTCATGTGTCCTTAAGGGGTTAAAGGAATGCTAGAGTATGGAAAAGAAAGAGGAATCATCAATGAAAGGGAATTTAAATATATATATGTGAGATTTCCAAGGGTACCGGTGTTCTATCACCTACCCAAAATACATAAGAAACTACAAAATCCGCCTGGAAGACCAATCATTTCTGGCATTGGGTCCCTTACAGCTAACCTGTCGGAATATGTCGATCACTATCTACAAAGTTTAGTCGTCTGTCTCAAATCATATTTAAAGGACTCCACCCAGATTCTTAACCTGCTTTCTGATTTTAAATAGGAGGAAGATGTGTTTTTAGTTACAGCTGATGTCATGTCTCTCTATACTGTCATCAAACACCTGCAAGGCTGCGAAGCCATCCAATACTCTTTGGCAGTGTACTTTGAATTAAAGAATGATCATATAGCTTTTTTGGTCCTATGCATAGCCTTCATTTTAACGCATAACTATTTTTGGGCCGAAGGCCATTTTTATCTGCAGACAGAATGTACCGCCATGGGGACACGTTTTGCGCCAAGTTATGCTAATCTTTTTATGGGTCAGTGGGAAGATGAGTTTATATGGGACCACTGCCCATTTGGTGCAAAACTGTTCCTATGGCGGAGATATATTGATGATTGTTTTTTCATATGGAAAGGTGACCAAGAATCTCTAGAGGAATTCAAAATCTATTTGAACAACAATCTGTACCACCTCAATTTCACTTTTGCACAATCCAAGGAACAAATTGAGTTCCTAGATCTCAACATATATATAGAAGAAAATGAATTGCACACCAAGACCTTCAAAAAGAATGTGGACTGCAACAGCTTCATCCCTTACAACAGCCACCATAAACCTGTATGGTTAAAGAACATCCCTCAAAATCAATTTAGAAGAATTAGACATAATTGTTCAAAATCTGACACTTGCAGAGAACAGATGGAAGAGATGGAGAAGAGATTCATCATGAAAGGATACCCTGCAGCACTTTTGGGAGAAGCTTTGGAGAAAACCCTCACTATACCACGAGAAGACACTTTATGTAATAGAACCAAACTAACACAGTTATCTAATAACACTCCAGCTTTTATTACAAAATATCAGCAATCAGTCGCAGACGATACAGAAAATACTTAGGAAACATTGGGGAATATTGAGAAGTGATCCAACAATTAATTGAGGGAAAACCACAGATTATCTTTACAAGGGCACCTAATCTCAAGCTAATGCTAGCTCCTACCATTAGATCCGAGAACACCAAAGGAGAACAAGGAAGCACGAGAGGTTTCTCGAGATGTCAGAAATGTATTGGATGCAGGAACAACCCCATGGCAGAAATAACAAGCACCAAATTTATATCGTCTAAAGATTTAAAAGAATATAAGATTAGAACACAAATGAATTGCAACACTTTGGGAGTGATATATCTTATCACATGCCCGTGCCAGAAACAATTTCTTGGACGAACTAAAAGACCTCTGAAAACTAGAATTGCAGAACACATTAGAAACATTAAGAAAGGCTTATTGACTCATAATCTATCGAAACATTTTAAAGAGACACATAGAGCAGACCCAACAGGACTGACTTTTTTAGCTATAGAAAAAGTGAATGTGCATTGGAGGGGAGAAAGCATAGATACTAATCTTGACCAATCTGAGGCAAAATTGTTTTTTTTCTCTTAACACCATAGTCCCCCTTGGCCTCAATGTCAATTTTGAGTTAAATGCATTCTTATAGTACTTCTTTTAGCTTTTATTTTATTTTTCTTATTTTTCTTATCTTCCTTTTAGTTTCAGCTCCTTTCTCGGTTATATAGAATTTTAATTTTGTGCTTTTAAGTATATAGATGATATTTGTCTGTTATCGATATCCCTATCCTGGTATGGATTTTTATCTACTTATCGGTGTTATTAAGTGATATTTTTTCTTAATCAATATCCCTATCCTGGTATGGATTTCATTATATCTATTTACTCATTGAGTTTCTTTACTTCTTCCTATCTCAAGCAATATGTACTCATACCTCATATATTCTACCTCATATGATTTCTTATTTATATTTGTTGTATAATTTCCTTGGTTCTTTAAGTATATAGAGTTGTTCCATTCTTATTAAGTCTCTCTACTTCCTCCTACCTCAAATAATATGTACTCATATCTTATATATTTTATTTCATACGATTTTTAATTTATATTTATTTCTCCACTCGATAAACTGGGTATAAATCCCTTGGTTTACATAACAGGTATTTCCTATTAATACAGATAAGGGAATTACAGGTCATTATATACAAGACCAGTACCGCTGTTTAAATTCCACATATAGACACGCTAATGCTGAAGGAATAAAGTGGCTTTTTTATTATGCTTTATTATGTTTTATTACGTGTATATTATTTACTAATATTTCCGTCTCGTTACAGAAAATGGAACACAGCTAGTGCATCCCTCACCTCTTGTATCCTCTCTATTATTATGTTCTAACAAGGAATCAAAGAATTGTAGAATATTAATGATCTGGAAACTAATACCACTTACATTTTATTATACTATTTGAGATCTGTAAGGTGGTTAATTAAGTCTGAGGAGATAATATGTATACAAAATGTAACATCGTATTGTCAACAGATTATGTGAAGTTAAGATCCAATATTGATGCAATGTCCAACTATCAATCTCTAACTGTTTATATTTTAATATGATGGTCGTAAGGAGGAAAGCTATTATTTATGTGCATAACTATCTCTGTATGAATGAACAACAGTCCTATTGAAATTAGGACAAGAGATGGGTATTTTATAAAAGTCTTTTATTATATGAAAGCTTTTTATTGTATCAAATTTTTTGGAAAATATTTCTATTATATTAAGTTGTACTGTATCAATCTGTATTAATCAATTCTCCGCATCTATTCTCTGGTGTTCATCTTTCATACAATGTAATGTAACTTATTCTGTATGGACTTCAATTAATCAATTCATTAACAACTGAAACGCGTCAGACAGTTCAAAGAACGTCCACACAGCGATAACCAGCCAAGGTATCATCACATGAGCCTAGACACCATCTAGACACCATCTAGACACCATCTCGGATCCCAGGAACATTACTGATATTATCCGACAAGCAGCGCAGTTCCCTCTAAGTGAGGCTCGAGGTGGAACGCACTGTGGTACGCAAGCCGTCCTCACCGGCGATTAGAATTTGGATATAGAATTGTGAAGAACATCCATATCCATCCGTGCCTGGATATAAGGTTGTTGTGTATCTTTTACCTTTAATTGACTGGTGTTTTTACTGTGGACCCATTTTTAACTATATTTTAATATTTTGGAATAAATTTTACTTTTTATATTCTCAGTTGTTTTTTTAGCGATCTATTTTTTATATTGCCTATAGCAACCAGTTCTTGGCACTGGTTTTGCTTGATCATCATAAGTATCTGACTTGCTGGGTAGTAGTCAGTGTAATTCAAGTATTTTTATGCCATCTGGCTATTACATCTTTCACTCTGATGGAAGTATAATACTTGGCATAAGGTTATATTTGCCCTGGGATATTTCCTTTTCCTGGGTTAAGGATACCCATACCATACAGATATCCCTGCAATTATTTTTAGCAATATTTTTGACATTATACATTTAAGGCATATATTTATATGATGCAATTACATATATATAAGAACTGGTTGCTATAGGCAATATAAAAAATAGATCGCTAAAAAAACAACTGAGAATATAAAAGTAAAATTTATTCCAAAATATTAAAATATATATGCATCTAAATACATAAGTGTGACATCTGAGATTAAGTCTGATTTCTATTACATACTTACTTATTTTACTTATTTTATTAGTAAGCTCCTGGATACCTGTTGCTATTTTTATAGTACAATACATTTTATGTAAACTTGTTTTCTTTGTTTGACACTTTATGGGTAGCACTATTTACACTTTACTAGTTTTGTATCACTTGTAGACCTAGGGTCATTTGGTGCAGGTAGGCACCATGGGCGTCCGCAGGAGGGGGACTGGATTTTTCAGCTTGTACTGGTAATTTTCTTTTGAGATTGAAAACACACTTCAATAACGGCGCCGGCCAGTAGGTGGCGCTGTGTATGAAGAAGGACAGGGATAGGAAGCTACATTTTATCCTTGCTTCTCTCTCCTGACTTAATCCCAAGGGGAGCAGCACATAATGCAGCCAGCAACTCCCAGCCTGCAAAGACAGTCTACAGATCAGGTAAGTAAGGGATGGAGGGTGGGGGGACAACCTACTGATCAGATAAGTGAGGGATGGGGAGGGGGCAGCCTACAGATCAGGTAAGTGAGGCATGGAGGGACAACCTACAGAATAGGTAAGTGAGGCATGGGGGGCAGCCTACAGATCAGGTAAGTGAGGCATTGAGGACACCATGCAGATCAGGTAAGTGAGGGATGGGGGGCAGCCTACAGATCAGGTAAGTGAGGCATAGTTGGTAGCCTACAGATCAGGTAAGTGAGGCATGGTGGGGCAGACTGAAAATCAGGTAAGTGAGGCATGGGGGGCAGCCTACAAATCAGGTAAGTGAGGCATGGGGGGCAACTTACAGATAAGGTAAGTGAGGCATGGGGGCAGCTTACAGATTAAGTAAGTGAGGGATGGAGGCAGCCCACAGATCAAGTAAGTGAGGCATCAAACTTCTCTCTAATCCTAGCCTATAATGACCTCATAACCATATCCTAGCCTTTGAAAAAATGTCATATTGAACCTATTACAGGGACTGGATCCTTGGTGTTGCCAATGAATGTGGGAGGACTGCTTGCTGTGTTTATTTGTGTATTCAGCAGTAAGTGTATGTATTCAGCAGTCTGTGTGTGTGTATTCAGCAGTGAGTGTATGTATTCAACAGTCTCTGCGTGTATTCAGCAGTCTGTGTGTGTGTATTCAGCAGTGAGTGTATGTATTTATCAGTCTCTGCGTGTATTTAGCAGTCTGTGTGTGTGTGTGTGTTCAGCAATCTGCATATGTATATTCAGCAGTCTGTGTGTGTGTATTTAGTAGTCTGTGTGTGGGTGTATTCAGCAGTCTGTGTGTATGTATTTAGCAGCCTAGGGGTGGGGATCAGAAACACAGGGAATGGAGAAGAAGACAATGACAAAGAGAGGGGCTGGGGAAAGGTCTAATGACACACTGAGGGGCTGGGAAGGGGATAGAAACACACAGAGGGGCTGAAGTAGAGGACAATAACACAAAGTAGCTGTGGGTGGGGGCAGGGACACACAGAGGGGCTAGGGAAGAGGTCAATGACACACAGTGAGGGTCTGGAAAAGGAGACAGTGACACAGAGGAGCTTGGAAGAAGATCAAGAGACACACAGAGGAACTGGGGAAGGGGACAATGACACACAAAGGGGCTGAGGGAAGTAAGAAACACACAAAGGGGCTGAGGGAAAGTAAAACACACAAAGGGGAAGTAAGAGACACACAATGGGGGTATAAGACACAAAGGGGAAAAATGGAGGATAAAGTAAACTAATATGCTAGATACACTAAAAGACATTCAAAAGATGGGATAAGAAACACAAAACGGGGGTTAAGAGACACACAGGTGAAAATTAATTTTTTTCTGACAGATTCTCTAATAGATGCAGAGACGGCCTCTGTTACAGGGCCCCCCTCCAGGGCCCTTTATTATTATTAATATTATTACTGGCATTTATAAGGTGTGGCAAGTGTTGTGGGTGCAATCTGGTACTGTGGGCACATTCTGATGCTATACCTAGTGCTGTGAATGTCTCCAAGTACTGTAGCAACTGCTGTGCATGCTACCTAGTGCTGTGGTGGTAGCTGTGTGTGCAGTCATTTTTATTTTTAGAATTCAGTTATAGTGCCTTTACAGCCAGAGTCAACTTTGTGAGGCTCTGCAAATTATAAACCTATGGTCACTCATATTACCTCAAGTACAGGAAAGTACTAAATAGTGTGTTTCTGATATTATTTATTGTGCTTCCCACAGTGTTTTCTATTTATATTGTATGAATTGTTTATATTTCAGGTTTGATCGGTGATTGATGTACCGGACACGGACACACACACACACATATATATATATATATTTCTCTAAGATATGTGCCTAGTTAGGCACACACACTTATTGGAGTGGCTATGGGGTTATGGAGCTGCAAATATATCATAAATATCCTTGCAGTTTTCAATATTTGTATCTTATTCTGCAGGGCCCAGACTATACTTCCCTTCCCAATAACATCATATAGGAAAGAAAATAAACACAAAAGACACAATTTCCAAGGCATGTTTGAAGGAAAAGCTGCCTATCACTACCATAATGATTTACCAGCATTACAGGAGGTAATGTCCTCATTCAAAAGGAAATTGTAGTAGAACAAAACACATCATTATTCCAACATTGCTTCAGTCATTAACACACGGAGAGTAAAATAATCCTCTCATGTAGGTTTTTTTTAATGTATAATAATCTGTCAAAAGATCACAACTATTTATACAATAAACTAGACAAAAAATGAAATATACATTCACTGAGCATAATGACGGCATTGTTCAGTTTAAAGGACCACTATAGTACCAGGAAAACATACTCGGTCCCACACCCGTGGCGCTGAAGGGGGTGGAAGGGGTTAATCCCGTACCTTTTTTTCCAGCGCCGGGCTCCCTCAGCGCTGGCACTCTCCTCCCTCTTCTGACGTCCCTGGCTGAATGCGCATGCGCGGCAAGAGCTGGTCGCGCATTCCGCCAGTCCATAGGAAAGCATTCACAATGCTTTCCTATGGACCCTGGTGTCTTCTCACTGTGAAAATCACAGTGAGAAGCGCAGAAGCGCCTCTAGCGGCTGTCAATGAGACAGCCACTAGAGGCTGGATTAACCCTAATGTAAACATAGCAGTTTCTCTGAAACTGCTATGTTTACTGCAAAAAGGGTTAATCCTAGCTGGACCTGGCATCCAGACCACTTAATTGAGCTGAAATGGTCTGGGTGCCTATAGTGGTCCTTTAAGTAGCGCTCAGAAGATCTTACACCAGAGACTGGATACTGGGTATGAAAGAACTGAGTGATTTGGGATTGCACCAGTACATCTAATGTAAAAACAACAAAACAAAAACCGTGCAACAAGAGTGATCAACTACAATGCAATAAGCACTGCCTTTGAAAATTCCAGGCATAGAAGACATGGCAATTAGTCATTTAGGGCTTCTTTGCAAACAATCGTACAAAAAAAAAAATTAATTGACCTCCATTCTAAAGCTAAACTAAGCAGACAATGGATCTCCACATCAGTGGAGCAGTAAGCTACAAACAAAAGACACATATTACAAAACCACTGATCCAAAATTACATTTGGTTTCTGGTTGTGCTGTGAGTTGTTTGTTAATTCAATTACTCTTAATGGGACCCTGCAAATCTATTTTTTTCCCTCTTAAGTGAAATTAGCACTTTTATAAAGCTCCAAAATGACACCCTCCCAGCTGTAAAGCGCGTAGCCGGAAGGATGCTTTTCCATACTACTTTGTGCTATGACCTTGAAGAAGTCCAAAACAATGTGGGATATATCTATGAATCATTGTGACCTTTTGTAGTCTTTGTGCACTCTTGGTTTGTATCACCTAATTTTTGCACTTACAATTTCAGCCATGTAAACATAGGGTGAAGTGTCCTGGGGCATCCTGGGGCAAACTTCTAAAAGTGGAGCAAAATGACATTGATTGCTCTACCCCACAATGTTTATTTACACATACCACAATTACAATTTTACTTTACTTTACTTTAGATAATTAATAAATATATATTATTTCTATGTTTTGTCAGTATATTTACACTGGCAGACATTTAGTGTAAAGATAGAAATTAAAAATATATACTGTAAGTCACCATTAAAACAGACATTTTTTCTCTCTATACTCTATTCAGCACTAAGTAAAGGAATGCGACTAACATAACACTGCTGAGATAAGACATTTGTCTGCACTAAGGGCGGTTGAAAGCAAAAACCCAGAGACACACACACACACACACACACACACATATATATATATATATATATATATATATATATATATATATATATATATATATATATATACAGGGAGTGCAGAATTATTAGGAAAGTTGTATTTTTGAGGATTAATTTTATTATTGAACAACAACCATGTTCTCAATGAACCCAAAAAACTCATTAATATCAAAGCTGAATATTTTTGGAAGTAGTTTTTAGTTTGTTTTTAGTTATAGCTATGTTAGGGGATATCTGTGTGTGCAGGTGACTATTACTGTGCATAATTATTAGGCAACTTAACAAAAAACAAATATATACCCATTTAAATTATTTATTATTACCAGTGAAACCAATATAACATCTCAACATTCACAAATATACATTTCTGACATTCAAAAACAAAACAAAACAAATCAGTGACCAATATAGCCACCTTTCTTTGCAAGGACACTCAAAAGCCTACCATCCATGGATTCTGTCAGTGTTTTGATCTGTTCACCATCAACATTGCGTGCAGCAGCAACCACAACCTCCCAGACACTGTTCAGAGAGGTGTACTGTTTTCCCTCCTTGTAAATCTCACATTTGATGATGGACCACAGGTTCTCAATGGGGTTCAGATCAGGTGAACAAGGAGGCCATATCATTAGATTTTCTTCTTTTATACCTTTTCTTGCCAGCCACGCTGTGGAGTACTTGGACGCGTGTGATGGAGCATTGTCCTGCATGAAAATCATGTTTTTCTTGAAGGATGCAGACTTCTTCCTGTACCACTGCTTGAAGAAGGTGTCTTCCAGGAACTGGCAGTGGGACTGGGAGTTGAGCTTGACTCCATCCTCAACCCAAAAGGCCCCACAAGCTCATCTTTGATGATACCAGCCCAAACCAGTACTCCACCTCCACCTTGCTGGCGTCTGAGTCGGACTGGAGCTCTCTGCCCTTTACCAATCCAGCCCCGGGCCCATCCATCTGGCCCATCAAGACTCACTCTCATTTCATCAGTCCATAAAACCTTAGAAAAATCAGTCTTGAGATATTTCTTGGCCCAGTCTTGGCGTTTCAGCTTGTGTGTCTTGTTCAGTGGTGGTCGTCTTTCAGCCTTTCTTACCTTGGCCATGTCTCTGAGTATTGCACACCTTGTGCTTTTGGGCACTCAGTGATGTTGCAGCTCTGAAATATGGCCAAACTGGTGGCAAGTGGCATCGTGGCAGCTGCACGCTTGACTTTTCTCAGTTCATGGGCAGTTATTTTGCGCCTTGGTTTTTCCACACGCTTCTTGCGACCCTGTTGACTATTTTGAATGAAACGCTTGATTGTTCGATGATCACGCTTCAGAAGCTTTGCAGTTTTAAGAGTGCTGCATCCCTCTGCAAGATATCTCACTATTTTTGACTTTTCTGAGCCTGTCAAGTCCTTCTTTTGACCCATTTTGCCAAAGGAAAGGAAGTTGCCTAATAATTATGCACACCTGATATAGGGTGTTGATGTCATTAGACCACACCTCTTCTCATTACAGAGATGCACATCACCTAATATGCTTAATTGGTAGTAGGCTTTTGAGCCTATACAGCTTGGAGTAAGACAACATGCATAAAGAGGATGATGTGGTCAAAATACTCATTTGCCTAATAATTCTGCACTCCCTGTATATATCCATAAATAACTAACTATTATCATGTTTTAGTATATATAAATAGTAATAGTTAATAATATTAGAATATTCATTGATATAATATCAATGAAGAAATACCATATTATTTACTAACATTAGTGGAATATGTGTAATAGACATGTATAAATCACATGTGTAACATTATTAAGTGCTACACGCAGTTTCACAAAAGAAAACCAGACACAGAAGATAGATAACACTAAAGTAATAAATTAACTTTTTAAATATTAAGGATCTGATACAAAGTTTAATTGTATTAAGATGGTGAAACCAAGGCTAAGACGTGTTAAAATCTGATTTTATGGTCCAAAAGGAGACAGTCAGACTGAGAAAAACTTTCAAGTCTGACAGCTTTTTGATGAATGGTTATCCAAAAGATAACCAAGATGATGTCAAACGCATCACGGAATTCAGTTAACTCTATATACAAAGTGATAACTGGACTTCCTGACAAGAATTTCTGTGATGTAATTGTGCAACCTACTGACCAAAATCTAGATGATAGTCTATAGGGAAGACACGCCCATCTTACTTTATTGGTCACTGTCAACTAGTGACATATAGAGAAATTCTCCTTTAAAGATTAAGGACAAAGGAGAGAGAGGAACACTTTCTGGGGATGGGACGTCTAACATTTGACATCTGGAGCAGGAACTAGGACTCTCTATGGGGATGGAACATCTAACTTTTACGATCTAACAGCTCACATCTGACTCTCTTTATCTTTCCCAACTTAACACTTAACTTGAAATTCTTCAAAATGTAGAACTCTGAACCTTTCCTATCTCCCACAATTCTCATTCATACTTGCATACACCCTTAAAGAATATTCTTAAGCTTGAATATACATTTTACAAAGATCTTTTATTTAAGTAAATTTAATTTAAATTAATTATTTTTTACTAATAGCAGGAATATATATTTGTTTAAAGGTTGGAAATCATTATTAGCTATGAATTATGTTGTTCCAGATCCTTAACTGCAGAAAGGATAAGTGAATAATATATTCACTGTCAATTTGCCAAAAATGTCAGCATGCCAAACTTTTACTCAGAGCTATATGGACTTATTCTAAATGAAGAATATAAATCTTTAATTAGGAAAGCTAAAATTCTGCATGTGATAAAATCTGGTTAGAATTACTATTATTGGATGAAAAGGGAATGGTTAAATGATCTGGTATGAGAAAGATGCAATTGCAATATAAAAGAGAATTGTAGCCAATAGTGAGAAGTTCACAGACTGTCAGTCCAAAAATCCTTTTTATTGCTCTATGCTGCGCTGTTGTGAGACAGACGCTGTGAAAAGCTCTGTGTAAAGGAATTTCAAACTAATGCTAAGTAGCCTCGCTGATTTCAAAGTGGTGTCCTGTCATAAATCTTGTTGAAAACTGCATGTCAATATAACTGTTACTACTTAGCTGTCTGTAAACTGTGTTAAACCATTGCCATATTGTATAATTATGTTATACCTAAATATTCACTAATTATTGTCACACATGTTACATGTTATTATTACTATTATTATTGTCACAATAAATTATACTTTTATAATTAGTTTGTGATTAAAGGATCACTATAGTGTCAGGAAAACAAATCGGTTTTCTTGACACTATAGTACCCCGAGGGTGTCCCCACCCTCAGGGTCCCCTCCCATGGTGCTGAAGGGGTTAAAACCCCTTCAGTTACTCACCTTATTCCACTGTCGGGCTCCCTTACCTCTCCTCCCCTGCCGACGTCAGCTCCCCTGCCGATGTCAGCTCCCCAGCCTGACGTCAGCGGAGCGGAATGTGCAAGCGCGGCAGTGACGCGCGCGCATTCGAAGTGTCCATAGGAAAGCATTTCTCAATGCTTTCCTATGGACGCTCTGCGTGATGGAGGCATAATATGCCTCCAGCGTTGCAGATGCGCCTCTAGTGGCTGTCCGGAAGACAGCCACTAGAAGCTGGCTTAATCCCAAATGTAAACATAGCAGTTTCTCTGAACTTTACAGCAGGCAGGGTTAACCCTAGAGGGACCTGGCACCCAGACGACTTCATTGACCTGAAGTGGTCTGGGTGACTATAGTGTCCCTTTAATGTGTGAAATATAAATCCTCTAATAAACGTACTCCAGGATCTATGAGAATTTATATAGTGGGTAATTTGTAGCTTTAATTAATCAAGGGGAACAGTGCCAATATATCAATTGCTGATATGATAAAAATTATTAAATTAATTTTTGATAATTCTTATAAAAATATTATTTTTTAATATTTATCACCCTATAAATATCCTCACAGTTTGTATTTGGCATCCTTTACTAATTGGTTTCTGGCATTTCAATCTATGCTTCTAACTGATATGCTGAACAATAAACACTGGTTTCCATGTTGCCAAATTTAAACAATCTTCCCATGTGGATAAATCCGTTCTATCTTTGCTTTGATGGGATGCCACGCTGTAATGTAAGCATCCCAATATATGTGATGTTGTCATACAACAACTTTTATTATGCATGAAATAAATGCATATTGTGAACTATGAGAGGTGAAGACCTGCAACAGCTGGATTGTATTATTTGCAATACACGTGTTGCTTGCTCAATGGTTCCTCTATCTCAATTAATTAGCAGCACTTTTCAATATGCAGAGAGGCCATCTGACATTGCAAATGTTAACAAAATGAAGAAATAGCCCCCAGTCATCCAAAGGGAGATGTTTGACTAAGTTCTACTTGCAGTGCTGCTCTGGGATGTGGTCCAGCAGCAGACTGAAGAAAGCAATATCCTGCTGTGTATTGAGGCAGTCTCCCAGCAGTCTGACCAGTGAAGGTCAGTATGAATTGTTCACTGTCTCAATGTCTCTGAGCTGCTGCTCTATACAAGCTTAAAGGGGAGCTGGCACTTACCAGGATTTTTCATATTATGTTTGCCTATTCCTATATCTAGAAAATATGTATTTTTCAGGTGTGAAATATAAAATTAAATCGTGAAATACACACATCTTTATCTTGTAACAGGGAGCCTCCATTTTAGTTCTCTTCTTTGCACTTTGCAGTCATCAAAGAGAAAGCGCACAGAGAATAGGAAAAATGAAGCAATGCTTATACATATCCTCTTATTTTTCAATGTTTGCACTGGCTTTGCCTTTTATAACTCTTCTGGCTTATGATGTTATTTTTTTTTAGATATTTAATATAAATTTAAAATAAAATGTAACATTTTATGAAAATAAAAAGGATAGCACACGATATAGGAGATTTTCCTGGTTTTATTCAGTGATGTTATTTTCACAGAAGTGCACTGTGCACTGCATGAGTTCCCTCACAACCTGGTCATCAATGATGAGGGTTTCATTAACATTGCCCTGTGCCCCCTCCCTTCCATGTGTCTCCCCCCTCATCCCCAAGCCCTTCCTTGTGTCTCATTCCCCTACCAACCCCACCATATGTCCCTTTCCCCTCCAGCCACTCCATGTGTTCCATTCCAACCCTTACATGAGTCACATTCCCTCCCTAGCCCTTCCACGTGTCCCACTGTCAGGGTTTCTATGCTGTTTTAAACAGCAACCCTTTCCTTTCTCTGTGTCTGAGCTTTCAGATGATTTTAGCGATCAGTTCCTTTATAAATGTTGCCCCGGTTACTCACCTGATAGTAGTAACCAACCCTGCTGCTAATCAGTGCAGCCTATTTAAGCAGCAAGTCCCAGTTCCAACGTGCCCTTGCGTGGTTTACTGTTTCCCAGAAGACTCTCTGTTTCCTGTGTGTTCCTGGTTCTTGACTTCTGGCCTTGTTCCTGACTCCGCTGCTCTCCGTTCTCCTGATCCTGGCTCATCTGACTACCCGCTCTGGTGCCTGCTCCCTGCTTGCCTCCTGGACTTTGCTTTTGGTTATTTCTTTATTTGCTTTTCATAATAAAGGTGTTTTGCATCTGTCTCTGTCTGGTTCCTGGTCCATAACACCCGCTCCCCGTCTTCAGTCCCTCCATGTGTCTCATTCCCCCCAGGCTCTCCATGTGTCCCATTCCAATCCAGCCCCTCCATGAGTCCCATTCCACTCTTGCAGCCCCTCCATGTGTCCCATTCCCACCCAGCCCCTCCATGTGTCCCATTCCCACCCAGTCCCTCCATGTGTCCCAATCCCACTCCCTAGGCCATCCAAGTGTCCTATTCCCCCCAGCCCCCATGTGTCCTATTCCCCCCAAGCCCGTTCATGTGTCTCATTCCCACCCCCAGCCTTTCCATGTATTCCCCCTTAGCCCCTCCATGTGTCCCATTCCCCCTACCCAGTCCCTCACCTGTAGTTAACCATGGTACCAGGTTCAGTCAGACAGGAATTGCTCTTTCAATAAGCACTTCCTGTCAGATCGTGATCCATTCAGCCATGCTACACACAGCGGCATGATGGGAGCAGCACAGCAACCGTGGCTCTGGGCATGTGTGCCCGTGCACCGGCCCAAACGTTATGGTGGCCCACGATCGCAGGACAGTGGTTACAACACTACTGGTGGGCACAGTAAGAAAATTAGTTAGTGGATTTATTGTATGATAGGCTTAGCATGTTGATACAGTGCATCCACGCAATAATACTAATAAGCCAAAATATAAAAAAGTAGCATGTTTATTACAAGTCATATAAAAGTCTATATACAATAGTGGAGCTTTAAAAGTTCACATTGATTTTTTTTAAAAAATAACAATGGATTTTCCAACTCAATGTGGAATAAGAATTCTTTTCATATTGACCCTTAGTTTCTATGATTTTACAGAGCACAATGCAAATACATCAGTCAGTGTATGAAACATGCTCAGCATTACAGTATTTATACTGTGCTGGTTTCCATTTTGGAGAGAAAAAAATATAAGCACTTCTGCTGCAGCAACACACTAAAATAATCACTAGATCTAGGAAGGCAACCTACGGAACTCCCGGTGTTGTGGACGACATCTCCCTGATGCTTACCAGCTGAAGATTGCTTATTCCTGCACTAGAATATAGTCCAGTAAATCATGGTCAGGCTTGAGATGATGATGTTTCTCCTTGGATCACTTGTAACATTGAAGAGTGAATCTCCAGTTACGCTCGAATTATTAAGAATTGACATCTTTTAAAAAAAAAGAAACCCAAAAGTATATATTACTTGGGATATTTCGATCTAACAACTGGCACTGGGTAGGGATAACAAGCAATGCTACACCATCCATAGGAGGAATGAAAAGGTTAGACTCAAGCACACGTGATGCAACTAATCAAGATCTTCATTAGATGCACTAGGTGTGCTTGAGCTGGAATACTTGAATAACCTGAACTGGCTAGGAGTTTTTTGAGTGTCATGTTTGACTGCATGTTAGAAGTATGGCTAAGTCAAAAAATGGTCCACAAAGTTAAGAAAAGAGATCATCGCTCCACAAACAAGGAACAGGATACAAAAAGATAGCGAAGGCACTAAATGTTTCTATAGACACCGTTGGAAGCATAGTTTGCAAGTTCAAAGATGAAGAAACAGTGGTTACACTACTTGGATGGGGCAGAAGAAAAACCCTCGAGTTACTGCAAAAGACCTAAAGCAAGACTTGATGTCAAGAGGCACTGAGGTTTCAGTGAGCACAGTAAGGTGCATACCAAACGCGGACGTTTTCTATGCCAGAACTCCAAGACATACACCATTACTGACCCAAAAGCATAAGAAAAGTCAGCTCCAATATGTTGAAAATCATTTAAATAAGCCACAGTAGTTTGGGATTCTGGTCGGTGGGGCGTTGAAACAAAACTGGAACTTTTCAGCCCAATGGATCAGCAGTAAGAGGAAGCAGAAGCTTGGGCATCATTGGACCTTCCAACAAGGCAATGATCCCAAGCATACTTTAAATTCCAACAAAGCACGGTGGCAGAAGTTCTGGAAAATGCTAGACTGTCCATCACAGTCACCTGACTTGAATCCCCTAGAAAATCTCTGGTGGGATTTGAAGAAGGCAGCTGCAGCACGCAAACCCAAGAATATTACTGAACTTGAGGCCAGTGCTCATGAGCAATGGGCTAAGATTCCTCAGGAACACTGCCAGAAGCTGTTTGGCTAGGCATCTCGTTTGCAGCAGGTCATGACAGCAAAAGGGTGCTCTACTAAGTACTAAACATGCTTGCCATTAGTTGCATTTTCAGTTGAATTTGGGGAAACCACTTGAAGCATTTGTTGTGTTGAGCTACTTAAATTGATTTTGTTTGACTTGTTCATTGCAAACAGCTGAAATAAATTAACCTGATTTTCAATGGGGGTTGAATAATTTTGATTGCAACTATATATATATATATCTTAAAAACAATATTTCTTGGTCTCTACTGTGTACATTTTTGTAAACCTGTATAAACAAGCTGGGCATGATAAGGTTTATATTTATATGTTTTTATAAGACGCTTACATTGTTCTTATTGCTGTAAAGTTACACGTTGGCGTCTGTAGCTCTTGTTTCAGGGGATATTATAATTGACATTATGATATGAAATTGTGAGACACTCCTAAAAGTGGAGCAATTACCACAGAAGCCTAAAGAAGTAATAGGAACAATCTGCTGGTTTGCCTAAATATTCACTTTTCTAAGTAGTCACTTTTACAGAAGCTCTATGTGTTTATCAAACAAAAAGTGTGTTGGTTTTATCTGATTTGGTAGTGTGCTACAACTTGCTAAAGAAACAAGGTAAGTGAGCTGTGCATTTTGCAATTAATGTTTTTTTTAATAGAGGTCTGCACCTAAATTAGACATTGATATATAGTGCATTTAATAAATTGTGCTCATGGCAACATTTAGCCCAGTGTCTTCCTTAGTACCAGTCACTAAATTCAATATTATTGACGTTGATAATGCTAAAAGAGAAACATATAGCCCATTGTCATGAAAGAGTTATGTAATTATGGCTGCAAGTGTAGCCTAAATAATGAAACTGATTATCCTAAAGATCAGTAGGAGTCAACATAGTTAAACGATTTCTAGCCAAATACAGACACATAATGTTAAATCAGAGGGCTATAGCAATGACAGATATGCTTTTTGATTACCTTGGACCTTTAACGTGGAACTTCCCATATCCTGTTTAGGTTCCAAACTCCATAGTGACAAATAGGTAATACAACTAAAGTACCTCAACAAAAAATGCATTACAGGTAGCAAAGAATGAACATTCTTTTTGTTACTTTTCAACGCCTGCCTACACTTTCTCAGTCCATCATATATGGCTTCTATTCTAAGAAGAAAAATGGCACTTTGCTAGTACAATAAAACAATTAATAAAATAGCTGAGGGTTACAAACCAACAGCTGCCGTTTCCTGAACAGCTCTGAATTATATTTACTATTAAAAAATTCCAGAGTTTCTTATTGTGTCAGTGTCCGGCACTGATAGAGGTATTGTTAGCATATAAACAATGATATCACAAAAAAAAAAAAATGCATTTAAAAAAAGTATTCATGTGAATTGCAAACATTTGCTAAGGAGTGGTTCACTGACACAACAATCGGGATTATTGGGAGGGTTGCTGCAATTTGGAGCCTTCAATTCTTTGGGGCCTCGGAGCTCTGCACACTCAGTGACCTCCACTTTTCATGGTGGTTTAGCAGAAGAACAATAGAAGGCACAGTCACACTTTTCTCCTAGTTCCCCTTGGTTAATGCTGTTACAATCACCTTGCAATGGTATTTTATTCCACAGTCTCCGTATAACCTCATGACTTTCCAAATGGGAGCAGACAGGGAGAGCTGTGGCACCAGGTCACAGCTCTCATAAATCCCTTCTGTATCACCAAACCCAAGATCTCTCTTCTTTATCTCCTTTTCATTGGAGGTAAGCAACAAGGTAGCAGGTTTGATCTCAGTGGAGGGAGATTGTTTTGTTCCCCAGTAATAAATGAATGAACACCCAGAGGTATCATTATCATGAGTTACACAAATTGATATGTCCACAAACATAACAAGGTATTTGATACAGTGTATATATGATTTCCATTGTGCTCAGAGTTCTTTGTAGGATAATGTGTTTTATGGAAAAATACAATGGCATGGGTTATTACCCTGCTAGATGACAATATCCTGATGTTTGGGATAAGAACATATAGCTGGGAGACCAGGTCACTGTTCTATCAAGGAGATGGCTCTTTGGATACATTATTCTGTGCTCTCTGAAATATGTTTCCATGTGTGCCACGTGTTGTCCCTCAAGGGCATGTGAGGTATGGAACAGGATTCCTGGAAGAAGATGAAAATCTTCATCTTAATGAGTTGGCAGATGAAGAAGTCACTGGGCAGTTGAAGAAATCCTGGCTGATGAGACGAGGATAACCTTCCAGCACACGCACCTGAACCGGGTCAAACTTCCAATAGTATAGTCCACGCAGAAAGTAAGCAAACCCTGCATATAACACACAGAAGTTTAGCTAACACCCACCCTTGTTTTTTTATTGCTTTCAACAAATAAAATATTACATGAAGATATGCAAAAATAAAGTAAGCTTAAAAAACATAAATATTCTTGCCCTTAAAGTTTTAATGCTGGCACTGCTATAATCTTTAATGAAAGAAGTGATTTTACCTTGCTCATCCCGGAAGACTGCATCAATGCTGGTGGGGACACCTCTCCAATCCGCCATGCTACGTGAGTGCCCACTCTCCACAAGCCGAGTATCTGGGTTGAAACGCCAATACTCATATCCTCTGAACAGGTATGTTTTCCTATTTTTGTCATTTCCCCACACAAAGGCAGCCTGAACCCTGGGTACTGTGAGGCCTAAATCCGAAACTTGAAGAGGTCCTGATGCTTGTAGTTTCCCATCGAACACCCAATACTGGGATCCTAAGAATTGGAAGCAACATAAAAAGTTGCTGAAATTAGTTCAGACCAGATGTTTATGTTAACACGTTAATAATCAAGTCAATAAACATTTCTGCTATGGCACAAATATGTGAGCATTATTTTTGCATTGTATTTGAAAATACAATTTCAGTATTCACTAAAGCTAATCTGAAAATTAGGATTGAAATTAGGATATTAACCACTAATTTGCAAATACAATTTAGAACAGTTTCCTGACATGTAAAAAAAAAAATTTCATTGCCAAAACATTCTTATGAATTTGCACAATTTATAGAACAGGTCTAAAACATTTACATTGGCCGGTGGCAGGGCCTGGCTGTTCAGCTGCACAAATGTCACAGTCAGCAGCTCCAGCTTGAGCATTTACAATATGCCCAATCTGTGTAATTGGAAAGCTGGCACAAACTGATGCTGGACAGAGACTGCTGTAGCACGTCTTGTGGCACACAATGATTCCTTTATTTTGGAGTTACCAACTAAAAACATGAAATGTTGGACCAAAGGTCTAACACACCACTTTCGCACCAGGCCTAGGTGTGAGGGCCTGGAGCTGTCTGTCCTCTATGCTGTGAGCCCTCCTTTTTGGGGGAAGTTGATGCCCTTAACGAACCAGTGGTCATTTGACTTGATGGAGCCTAAACTGGTGAAGAGGTCAGTATAGCGTGAACTGCAGTGGAGGCTCTGTGGGTCTCCTGGATGATGATCAAGCAGATGGCTGGAGTGAGGCGACTTTAGCCTATGGGTTATTATGAAGAAGGGTCATGGACTATTATGGCTTCATGACATTAGCTATGCCGTTGGGCTGCCTGGGAGGTCTAGGAGAAATTAAACAAAACCTGTAAGCATACAATTAAGCAATAATCATAGAGTGGGGGGCAGGTGTGGGGCCTGTTGTGGTAGTGACAAAAAATATGTATTATAAGGCATTTAAAAATGTGTTCTAGTGGTAAAAAAAAACTTTTTAGTGATTTTAATTAGCTGCTCTTACTCTCTCAAGTTACGAGTTGGTGCCTATTTTCACGGGTTGTGGTGGTCCCCTGGACTGTGGACTCAGTGCCTGGCCTAGCTAGTTTTCTTTCATTATCTATGCTGCATTTACAGACTAGCCATACCTACTTAGTTTTCTTGAAGGCGGGGGTCTCAATTTTTCAGTTTGCATGTTCTCAGGTGGGACTATGTTGGTTCCTCCACCTTATGTGTGTGTTTTTGTGTTATTATTTTTAAAATTGTATATAGTACCCCAGATGTTGGCTTGGAGCCTGTGCACTGCATTCATCCTGGGGTGCACACATTTTTGATAAGTCATGTCCTAATTCCACATATCTATTTCCTGATATATGGGTTTCCTATATTATTTCTGTGCATTACATCCAGAGGTGTAACTCGAAACCACGGGGCCCTGGTGCGAAAATTGCCCTGGGCCCCCGCCCATACTCTACCCCTTGCCACACCCCCATACATCTACCCTCCCCCTCCCATACACTGCCCCCCCACACATGCAGACACAGACATAGACACACACATAGAGCACACATACACACACATACAAACACAGATACACACCGGCACATACACACAGATACACACAATTTAACACAAACTGACACACACACAAATACACACACTGGTAGATACACAAAGGCACACAGATACACACACTGACACACAGAAACACAAATACATACACACACAGATACACACTGCATGCATCTGTGTGTGTATCTGTGTCAATGTGTGTATCTTTGTACCAGTGTGTTTATTTGTGTGCTTATGCGTGTATGTTTCAGTGTGTATCTGAAGTGTGTATCTGTGTGCTAGTGTGTATCTGTGTGTCAAGTTGTGTATGTCTGTGTGTATGTGCTAGTGTGTATCTGTGTTTGTATGTGCCAGTCTGTGTCAATGTGTCAAGGTGTGGGTATCTGTGTTTGTTTATTCCAGTGTGTGTATCTGTGTGTTAAGGTGTGTGTATCTGTGTCAGTGTGTGTGCATGTGGATGTGTTTTTGTGTATATGACTGTGTATGTGTCGGTGTGTTTCTGTTTGTTAACGTGTAAATATGTATGTGGCAGTACATGTACAGACATCCCAGCAATTAAACACCAACACAACACACACTCCTGCAAACACAAACATGACATAAAAAGACACCCCTGAACTCTAACTCAAAAATTTTATACAGTCAAACACTCAAACACCAACGCTACCCACAAATGTACATCCACATTTAAAATCCAACACTACATCCAAATACACCTCTGCACGCAAATGCTAGCATTCCATACAAACACATCCCTGTATTAAAACGATAAAATTACATCCAAACACCAACTCTTCACACAAAAACACACCTGCTCCTATCTGTAAAAATTAGTGTATATATATATATATATATATATATATATATATATATATATAGTAAAAAAAACGAAATTTGCAAAAAATAGAAACAGTTGGAAAGTATGAAATAGTTTGTCATTGAATAACGGACCCACAACAGCACAGCAAGACAGTTTAAAAATGTAAAATGTAATATATAGCAAGCTTAGGTTTTAGTTTCTATATATAACCCGTATCTGTACATTTCTATTCATTATGTGTAGATTAATCATGGTATATTCCATGACTGAATTCCTGTGTGTAACCTCAATATGAACTTGATCTATCTTGCATGATATTTTTCCCTGCTGTTCTTCATGAAATAAAGGGCCCTGGGGTGTACTGCCTTATGGGGCAGATGAACTATGGGAGCTAACGCTGCTGGGACTTGGCAGCAATATCTATATATTTTTACCCTCTGGGAGAATGTTACACACAGGCACCATAGTGCAGACAAACAAAACAAACTTAAGAATGCAAGGTGATCCCACAGACCTGCCCTAGCTTGCACTGTCACATTGAGGCTGTGGGTAAGAATTCTCCACCATATATACTGCCAGGCACCCTAACTATAAGAGAGGTTTTTTCGCCAGTGGTGAACTGAGAACAAGCTTGCCCATTTCAGACCAAAATAGCTGATAGAAAAATTAAAATATAAAATTATCTAATGCAGTTATTTTTATAGCTCTGTGATCTTGTCCTAAAATTAGCAATTCACTTTAATTCCCTGTAATTCACGGTTTAGTTAGTAAATATCACAGTGCTTTGAGTGTAAAATACTATAAATCTTGCAATGTCAGCCATTTTCTTACTACTTTTTCTTCTTACCGTAAAAGAACCAGATATTTCCCACAGAATCTTCAAATGCAGCATCGACAGCTTCAGGGATCCCTTTCCAGTGTCGAGAGGCCAGTGCGGGATACCCGGTCTGCAGTTTCCCACCACGCAGGCGCCACACATAACCAGACTTGAAGAAAAACAGCTCTCCACGGATTGTGGACACTGCATCAAAATCCGTAGAACATGCGTCCGGCTAGGAGGATTGAAGAGAGGGGTAACTGCTACACAGATAAGTACCAACTGACAGGTTTTTTTATTTGCTAATTTTACGTTTCATATTTAATTATAATAAATTGTATTATCCTGTGGTTTATAATAAATTACATAACTAAGGCAAAAATAACCAAGCTGGGGCTAGAGGTGAGCTGGAGACTTTTTTCCAGACCAGCTACCATATTTTTCATAATATAACACGCAATATTTTACAATAAAATTTGGGGTGAAAACTGTCTCTGTCCTATATTCCAAATGCATTCCATATTCTGAGTGTGTGCATGTGTGTATGTATATATATTTTTTATTTATACACACACAGTGAGCCTTGAGATATATAGAGCAGCACAATTGAACATTATTTAGTCTCCTGAGTGCTCTCTTTCAAGTAAATTGTGAATTTGGCTATCTTCAGACGTGGACAGGTCTTGTGGGGAGATCAAAGATCTCACACACCGAGCCAGTACACTCCTCTGATGCTAGAGGGAGCCTAGTAGACACTAGTCTGCACCTACACTAGACGCAGGCTGAAAGTATTCCTTTGGTAAACCGAGAGCAGTCTGCACTAGCGGAGATTCAAGCTAGAGTCCCTTGCCACTGAAGCACCAGGAATTGGCAAGTCACCAAGAGGCTGGAGGGGGGATTAAACGTAAACAGTCCTACGAACACATGCATGGACCGTCATGCATTAAAATTACCATTACCTATACCCATTTAATGCTAGAGCCAGTATGCACAGACCTGCTACATGCCCTGTGTACAAACACACTACAAATGCTAGACACATAGGCAGATGTTTACTGTAAATACAGCACTGGTTGTTTTATTTTTTTTCAATTCTAAATTTCTAGTTATAATATATGGGTATGGCTTACATTCCATAAAATGCAGTATTTTTTGTTGGAATTTTGTATTTAAGTCACTAAAATTCAGAGTTTAGTGAATAAATCCTTATGTGCAATGTTGTTTACTTTTAAAGGGACAGCACTACTTCATTTAAGTTTCATTTATGTGAAAGACAATATTTAGAGATTTTGAAACATATTTATAAAAATACTGTACCTAATCTCACTTTTAAAAATGAACATAATCTGCCATTATTGTAGTCTCATCTTTGTGTTATCTGTACACAACTATTTTAGGGATTTAATCTTATCTGAATTTTGATTGACTAAAAATACCAAGAGGCGAAATCGGAATAATTAAAAATAATTTATATGGATTAAGGAAAATTAATAAATGGACAAAAATTGTGGAAAAGCTCCTAGCTGGCTAAGCAAGTATGTATAATAAAAGAGGAAATTCAGAGTAAGGTAGTTATTATTTATTACAGTTAAATGTAATGTTTAATGTCTCATAAGTATGAATGTGGCCCAAAGGAAAATAAGATTTATTGAGTTTTGGTATAAATATAAGATAAAAGGAACATAGATACATAATGGGACAATAAGTAATAAAGTAAAGATTGACCCCTGGGGTGTGTGAATATGTGTTTGAATGTTTTTATTGTATGTATTTTTATTCTGCAATCCATGTAAATGTATATGTATTTCTATGTATGGAATTATGTAAAATCTATGATATATTGAATACATGAATTGAAATTTAAAAGGGAATGTATGTAAAGAAATAAGAAAATTATATGAAAAATAATATATATATATATATAAAAAAAAAAAAAAATACCAAGAGGCGAATATAAACATATCTGTGATTGTAAATTAACCAGTTAGTTACCTGGAGCTATAACCTGCTTGCTCTAATAAGGCGATATTTCACATGAAACAAATTTGCCCTTAAAAAACACTCCAAGCACCATATCCACTTCATTCCTCTGTACGGGTGACTGGCACTCTTTCATGGTAAGTAGTCAAACTGTTTCACGAAGAAGAAGGCAGGCATTATGCGAACGCAGGAAAGTTCTTAAATGGTTTGACTACTTAGTGTAGAAGGCACCAGGGCACTCCTAGCACCATAACTACTTATGCAGACTGTAGTGGTTAGGGTGCTTGGAGTGTTCAATTAAAGCACCAATCTAAGCAAGAACAACTTTGGTTCACAACAAAGGTTATAGAGCAGAGAGTATCATGCAACCTGTCTCCCTTTTCAGAACAATTTAGCAAAACCGACTACAGCTGTGAGCCTGGCTTCTGGATTTCTGACATTAAAGGGATACTCCCTGCCCAAATAAAAAAATAATAATAATAAAATAAACAAAAATCACTGTTTAGATATACCCCCAATTAAAACATTTACTTATGCATTTTTTTTTATTGCGGTTTTATCTAAAAGCAGCTCACAGAAGGTGAAGCTCTCATGCCTAAAGCCTTTGCAAGTCTTCCCAATCGAACGCCGCCCAGACTTTCTGTGGCTGTCCATTCACAGACTTTATTAAATAGTTCAATGACACATCTTTGCAAGGCAGGTGCTCTGATCCATTGCTGCTTCTTGAGTTTATCTCCACTAACCTAATCAAACCAGGAAGTAACAAGACAAGTCTGATTAATAGCCAGGGGTTGCAACAAGGTTAATTTATAAAAGCGCAAATCTATTGAATTGTGAACATTTTGTAAAACTAAAAGAGGACACACTCTTCATACATAAATTACTTCAGCAAACTAAAGTGCTCTAGGGGTCTGGAGTATCCCCTTAAAAGTGAAATTTTACGGGGGGACGTGGCTAGCTGCCGAGGTGAACGGACTCATGGAGTGAGAGCTCCCGGTCCTATTTCACCCGATAGCCTGTATAAATGCTGCAAACTCTGCCCTGCCGCTTGCAAAGTCACAGGTAAAAAAACCCCGAAAATAATGGACATGATCCACCACGCTAAAAAAGGCCTACTCAAGATGGCGACGAAGGCCTGGCGTTTTCACAAATCTCACGGTCACTGAGAAAACGCTGTATGTCATGCTGCAGGAATTCAGAGTTACATTCCAATCTGATCTCAAGTGAGTGACCAGCGAAATAAAAAGAGAGATCTCGGATCTTGGTGAAAGGACCAACCGCCTTGAGGCTCACACTGAAGAACTATGCACAGCGCACAACGAAGTGGCTGATACAGTGCAAACCCTAGCTGATGAGCACCAGCTGATGAGAAAATTGGGCAGACTAGATGGGCCGAATGGTTCTTATCTGCCATCACATTCTATGTTTCTACGTTTCTAGGAACTTAATCGTAAGCTGGCGGATCTCGAGGACCGCTCAAGGAGGAACAATGTCCGCTCCTGAGGTATCCTGGACAATGTGGCTGCCGATGCGCTATCTGGATATATCATGGGGCTCTGCAAATGCCTGTTGCCGAATATCGCAGAGGCTGAGCGGCTCATGGATAGGGCCCACTGCTCACCCAGGCCCCCAAGATTCACCCAAGATATTCCAAGGGACGCGGTAGTGCACTATTTTAAAACAAATGATGCACTGCTCTTCGCAGCGCGGGATCTCCCCAAGCTGCCAGAGCCATACAATGACATCTAGCTATTTGCTGACTTATCAGCACTGACGATGAACCGCCGGAGAGAATTCATCACAGTAACAAAGACGCTGAGAAACCAACAGTATCGCTGGGGCTACCCGACAAACACCCTTTTATGGAGAAATGGTAGGAACCACATCGTCAATGTACTAGAGGATGGCATGTGTCTCCTCAGAGATTGGGGACTGTTTCCTCCATGAGCGTCTGTGGTACCAACTACCACATCACGGAAACGCCTCCAAGGAGAAAGGCAGATGGCGGGATCGCTCAACAAGGCCAAAAGAAAAATCACACACGAGCTGAGGTCGATTGCCTACGACTAATTTAGCCAACCATCAGCCAAGGTATTTAGCACGTGCTTCCTATCCATGTCGTTTCGCATACACAATGGCACTCGTCAAGAGTGCCCGCTATCTCCGCTAATTTTTATTTCATGTCTTGAACACGTCTTATAAACCAGTGCACACACATCAAAGGCTTGAATACCCCAGGGGGCACAAAAACGTTGTCTAGCTTAGCTGACAATATCCTCCTATTTATAACAGACCTGTTTGCTTCCATTCCCAAATTGTTAGATCTCTTAAAAGCATCCAGCAGGGTGTCCTATTACAAAAACAACACCTCTAAACCCAAGCACAGCTTATCAACCTCATGCAAACCACAGCTTCACAGCTGGCGCAAACATACACCTTTGACTGGCGTAGAAAAAAAAAATCTCTATCCTACTTAGGAATACAACTGACGAAATTCCTTCATAATATCACGCATGAGAACCATCATCCTTTGATAAACATCGTCTGGGGGATAAACTACACAGAGGTTTATGGGATTAGAAAAACCCCCAAAGGCGAGCACAACATGTTTCTGATGGTACGGAAGGGGTCTGCCTCTTGGTATGGGAAGTTTCTGCTTGCTGCTGTTGCTGCTTACACAGTATTAGTAGAAGTAGTAGAGGTTTTTTTTGTTATCATTTTTTTACCAATGTATTTTTTTATGTGTTTTATTAATGCATTCTCTGTATTATTCAATAAAAAAGGGGTCAAAGCCAGCCCATGGTATCCCTTTATTATAATCCTTTGTGTTTGCATTATTTATTCTCTACCTGTAAAAAATAAAAAAACAGAAAGCATCTCATTCTAGTACATGCATTTAGGATATATACTTTGCAGATGGAATTATACTTTGTTTTGTTTTGTGCTTTACTTACCTCTGAACTAGGGATCTCGTTGCTCTCACTCTCTGTTGGTTTTGGTTCAGGTTTAATTGTGGGTGGAGGAGTTGGTGGTTGTGGCGGTCCATATAGGTACTGGATGCCAAGCTTGTCATCTGCACTCAGACTGAGTGGGTAACGGAATGTGTAGAAAGGAGACATCAGTGATTTGGAGACTGATGAATGCTGCAGGCCGAGCACATGCCCAAACTCATGGGCTGCCACCTGAAGAAGATCTGTGCCTGCAACAGGAGTAGGGGAACTAAGACACGGACAGACAAGGAGGATAGTGAGAGACCCTGTCATTCACACTTGGGAGCACAATTAACAATGCAGGACCCCTAGCACATACTAATTCTGTAGCAAGGTGCAGGCTTGTGATGTCTTTAGAAGGTTTGCATATAACTACATTATTACTATTCACATGTATCACATACCTAGGTTGGTCCCAATGGTCCAAGCTTCATCATAATCAAAATGTATATCCCCCTCCCGATGTGTTTTTGGAAAAAAAGCATGTGCCAATATGCCCCCTGGGCCATCAAATGGAAGGTTGTCACCATGCCAATACCTGCAAAGAACAAAAGTGAAACCATGTTTTAATAACACATTCGATAAAATAACATCCTCTGTGTGTGACATATATATCAGACCACAGATAAACCTCTACTGACAAGGACATTTAAGATATATTCTTGAATAGGAACTTCAATTAGGGATTAAAAAACAATGTTTGAGAGATTGCACCGTACACCGTACACCTAAACCTTCCATTGAATATCTCCAGAGATGTAATCGTTCAATTTCATTCATATAATACTAAAGAAAAAATACAAAATCTTTTTAGAAATTCCAGAAAAAAAGAAGAAATTTATAAGGACATCCAGGTTTTTTAAGATCCATCAATCAACACGAGAAAGTTGGAAAAGGAATTCAGAGTACCACTGAAAGTTTTGAGAAAACACAATCTGAAATATCGATGGGCATATCCAAATAAGCTGAGAATCTTTTGGAAGGAATCAACTATTCAATCCAAATGCACTAAGAAGGACATTTAAGATAAATTCTTGAGACTCACCGCGTGAAATCAATTATGATGTCAGACCGTCCGTCACGGACCTCAGTGAAGTTTAGAGGGGTTACTTCACTCCATACTCTCAATGCTTCGGCAATTGTGCGTCTCACTTTCACCTTACTAAGCTGCCACGGGAAGCGGATAATCCTAAAACATCATTAGAACTATGTAAAATTACAAAGAAGAGGGACGGGAATAATGTATGCAGAGTCTGTAATGTTAAGAATTTGTGAGGAACTGAACAATTGTCATTGAATGTTTTTGTTTTTTCTGTGTGACATTTACTAAATCCCTCTCTTTTAAGGGCACTCACATAAGCTGACACTAAAGTACATTCTTCCTCCATCATTCTCATCACATCACTCACATTCATGTTGGGTGGAGATAGGCAGCATATGGATTATGGAAATGAGTCAGATCATATTGATGTGAACTCTTACTTGTAGGTCAAGTCGGTCTTGTCCCAACGTCCTCCAGATAACACAAAACGTTTCTTTCGGTTGTGCCCATTAGAAGAATCTGGAGAGACAGGAAAATCTGGTACTCCGCATCGTGGGGGATTCTTTGAGTCAGGAGCATTGAGGAATCCCTTAGTAGTTTGGTGCTGCATCCATAAAAGAGATTGATCTTTCCATGTTCGTCCCTGTTCACAAAAAAAACAGAATTATTAATAAAAATGTGGCATGATTGTTGTGTATCATTATAATATATAGCAAACCAGCCTGCTACCAGGATGCACCAAATAGCCTAGTAATTGAGAAGATGAAGTTGCTGGTGTACTGTAGTCTTATAGGGACAATCCAAATACCTAAATCACTTTAGCTTGCTTTAAGTGTGAAGTGTGTCCCCTCTTTTTTCATTTTACAAAGAGTGAAGATTTTAATAGAAACTCACACTTTAGTAAGCTGACCTTGTTACATCCCCCTTCTGTCAATCATACAGCTGGTCTTTTTTCTTCCTGGTTTGGTTAGCTCAAGTGAGCTAAACTCAAGAGGCAGCAATTGCCCAGGGCACCTGCCTTGCAAAGACTTGTCTCTAAGCTGCATTGCGAAGTCAGTAATTTGACAGCCACAGAAAGTCTGGGCAGGGTTAGAAGGGAAGGACTTGCAGAAAAGAGTTGTGCAGTTTTTGCAACCTGCTTTTAGATATGCCCCCAAATGAAAACATGAAAAATTAAATGCATGCATGTTTTCATTCAACCATTATTATATATGGATATTTTTATTTTTGTGGACAGTGGAGTGTTCTTTTAATGAAAAGGACTGAGCCACGCATTACTTAAACTGTACTAAAACAGTGAAGACATGATTGTCTGTTGGTGGGCTCTGAGATCAAACAAATACACTGTATCTAATGTGGTGTTCTCCAAGTTTTTCTGCAGTGTAGAACATTATAATGGAATCACAATATAAGTTCATATGTACTTTTTTGTCCACATATTTCATCATTGTACAGGACTATCGTCACAGAAGTGCTCAAATTCAGTAAAATAACGGACAAAAATAAAGCACGTAATGACAGTGACCCCGAGGAGGTTGAAGAACTTGTTTTGGGGAATTTCAGTTTAGGAGCATTTAATCCCTGTGAAAAGACAAAAAAAAAAAGTTTCCTTGTTGTTTTTGTTTAATGGTAAAGGTGTAAACACAAACACCAGTACATTTCACAGAGTGTCATCTTGATGTAGCAAACATTAATAACTTTTTCAAATTTTACATGAAGTTTTATATAGAACACCAATAATGAGTGCTTAAATGGTTACTCCAGTCTTCATAGCCACTTCTGCAGTGGTAATGGAGGAAGGAGTCTGTGTGAGCAGAGTTTATGCTTGAATGCTGTACATACAGAGAGATATTTGCAGTTTGTGGCAGGGGCTAGTAACACCCCCTGGCACATGTGACTTAGGCAGCCCAGAACTCTTGTTTGGCTGCATAATCTCAATTCTGCCAAGCAGCACCAACACACTTTCCCCTTAGGCAAATCCACCCCACTCCTTAGAAGATATAGTAGTGCACAGTTAAATATAATATAAAATATAGTGACACAACCTTTTAAAACAGGCAACACATCTATTGTAGTACTCAAAACTGTCAGACTCCAAAGGACAATGACTCCCAGAATAATTCCATTGAAGACATTAGCAGATGGACCAACAGTCCACCGGCTTCAAGGAAAAGCGAGTATCTCTGCTCATTCCCAGCCCTCCCTACCTCCATACATTGACAGATCATCAGAAAAAATCCCCACCTCTGTCCACCCTCACTTTCTCCCCTCCTTGGTTCAGAGCACATGCATGCGCTCCGAGCCGGTCAGAGTGCTTCTTCATTGGACCTCAGGGAGAGAAGAAGTGACGTCAGATGGGGTGTGGAAACCTGTGAAAGGAGCTTCCCCCGGCACTTGATTACAGGTAAGTAATAAAGTGGTTTAGACATAGCTAGCAGTGCCAAATGGGGCATTATACATTAAAAAAGAAAAGTTAAAAAGGGTTCGAGTAACTTTTTAAGTCCTACTTCACCACTCATGTTAGCTTAGGTTCACATAATATAAAACATATATAGGACACTTATAAAATGCTTGTTTACGTTTGATGTTATGTATTTTTACTTTTATTACTACTTACTATTTATAGGTTTGCACATTAAAGTTGAAAGCGCCTGACGTTAGGTTTTTACTTATCTGTGCAGTTTTTGTTTAATTACCATGTTGTAGTTATTTTGAAAATAATAAATAATTTATTAATGAGACCAGTGATGGTTAACCTAAACATGTGGAGGCCTGGTGACGAAAAGAATTTCCACAGTCCACTTGCAAACAGGGTTTGTGGGTTGTGGCCTCACAGAGCCATTCTAATATTGGTTTAAAGCAGTTGGGGGGGGGATGTTGGGGGGTGGTGGTTTAAAATGATGTATACTTAGAGCAATCGTAGCAGCAGACAGGTTTGGTTGAGCATCAGTTTGGGTACACAACACTAGATTCTGACTCACCATGGCTGCTCAGCCAGATAAAAAAGTGAACTTAAAAAATAAGACACATCATTTAAAAAATATCATTATGTTTCATTAATTGTAATGAACTTTAAAAAACAAAAAGTGGAAATTTGATGAATGTTGTCTATTAAGCAGGTAAGATAATTGCTCTCCGGAATAGGACTGACCCGCTGGGATGTTTCAGGGTAGATTGCAACGGAGGTTTGGGAAACAAAGTCAGCATGTTGCAATAATAAGTGCTATTATTGTCTATTATTGATATTTATTTAGCAAAATATTCTGCTGAACATAAAACAGTTAAAGGACCACTATAGTGCCAGGAAAACATACTTTTTCTCCAGCGCCGGGCGGGGAGCTCTCCTCCTCCTCTCCACTTCCTCTCCTCCTCTTCGGCTGAATGCGCACGCGCGGCAGGAGCTGCGTGCGCATTCAGCCAGTCTCATAGGAAAGCATTCACAATGCTTTCCTATGGTCGCTGGCGTCTTCTCACTGTGATTTTCACAGTGAGAAGCACGCAAGCACCTCTAGTGGCTGTCAATGAGACAGCCACTAGAGGCTTTAGAGGCTGGATTAACAGTATTATAAACATAGCAGTTTCTCTGAAACTGCTATGTTTATAGAAGAAAGGGTTAGTCCTAGCTGGACCAGGCATCCAGACCACTTCATTAAGCTACAGAACAGAAAAAATAAAAACTCATAGAGTAGTATAGCCAAAATACATCAAATCCCTGCTAGTTTGAATACACTCACAGGCATAAATTGATAGTAGGCATATCTCAATAATGAAGAGCTGGATAGAAGGGAATCCTCAGTACGAATACATGGACATGTAGGAGAGAAAATAGACCGCAAATAAGTGTAGATTGTAAGTAATTTTAACCCTGCACTGTAATAAGTTACACTTACAAGTTAATAATGATATAAAGGCATATCATAAAGTATCCTCCACAGCCATCCTCCTCCAATTGGTGGTAAAAGAACAAAATAAGAGGAATACTATGACTAGAAACTATTTATTAACATAAATTAAAATAAATCAATAAATAAATGGCTGCACGGGAGATCCTGATACCCCTGAGGAAGTCCGGCATACAGAGGACGAAACGCGTAGGGTTGGATATTTGTAGAGAGAACTTTTTAGTCCGCTTATTTATAACAGTTTGTTTATTTATTTATTGATTTATTTTAATTTATGTTAATAAATAGTTTCTAGTCATAGTATTCCTCTTATTTTGTTCTTTTACCACCAATTGGAGGAGGATGGCTGTGGAGGATACTTTATGATATGCCTTTATATCATTATTAACTTGTAAGTGTAACTTATTACAGTGCAGGGTTAAAATTACTTACAATCTACACTTATTTGCGGTCTATTTTCTCTCCTACATGTCCATGTATTCGTACTGAGGATTCCCTTCTATCCAGCTCTTCATTATTGAGATATGCCTACTATCAATTTATGCCTGTGAGTGTATTCAAACTAGCAGGGATTTGATGTATTTTGGCTATACTACTCTATGAGTTTTTATTTTTTCTGTTCTGTAGATCTTTTCTATTTCTATTGTATTACGAGGACTGGGAGGAGTCCTATTTGCTCTACAGTTCGGAATTAATTAGGTATTTGTATACCTGTTTGTGTGTTTGCTCCTTTAATTGGTGATTAGCGTGTTTTGTATATCACTTCATTAAGCTGAAGTGGTCTGGGTGCCTAGAGTGGTCCTTTAAGAAACAACAAAAAACAAGAGGTTATTGATGACCCTGCTCAAACAAGTTTACAATCTAAAGGAGGAGAGGTATTTAGTGATAAGAGGAAGAGCAGTGTGGGGGATATGATAAATAGGTAAATGCTTGGAATGGAGTTTGATGGTATGAAAGGGGAAGCCACAAATTATGTTAGAATAGGGCCAGAAAGCTTAAAGGGGAACTGTCCCTATTTTTGCCTAATATGTATTTATGAAGTGTGAAGTTATATCCATATTCCTTTATGTTGCAACTGGGTACCACCATCTTAGCTCCCTGTCAATCACTGTTATAAACTTTGCAGTCACCATAGAGAAAGCACAGATGGATGCGGAGAAATTAAGCAGTGTTTCTATTTATCATCTTCATTAGCAATGTTTACCCTGGATTTGCCTTGTTGGAAATGTAAATGAAATTTAAAGAAAAATTGTTGGAAATGTAAATGAAATTTAAAGAAAACAAAGCACTTTATAAAAAAGGCTTACATCTGATTACAAGGTTTTATTCAATATCTGGAAGGTTCTAAGTTAGCTTGAAGAGAAGATTTTTATGGGACTTCTTAAAGCATTGAAGACAAGTAGAACGTGATGGAGAGAGGCACCTGGAACTGCACCTGGAATATCCAGTTGATGAGAATTAGCAGTACAGTTGCCACAAAGGCCAGAAGAAGGTTAATGGTAGAGCAGAATGGCTGAATAGGGACTGACTCTATACATTAGTGATGGGTAAAAATATTACAAGCTTTATATGTGATTGTTAGTATCTTGTGTTGAATCCTTAAGGATACAGAAAGTCAATGTAGCTACCGGCAAGCTAAGGGAAAAAGAAAAATAAAGGCCTGGAGGAAGCATTCATTATGGACTGAAGAGAGGCAGTATTGTTTATGGAGAAATCAGTTAGGAGAGAATTCCGGTAATCTTGGGTAAAAAAGGAACGGATGCAGGCTGTGTTTTTAAGGTGAAAATGGCAGAATTTCATGACAAACTGAATATGGGGTGTGAGAGTTAAGCCAAAGTCAAAGATAATACCATGACAGCAAGCTTACTGGTAAACATTTATTTTTTTCAAATTATATTATCAGGAAACATACCCAAAATGGTTAATATTCTATAATGTTTTTATTCTATTCCTGATTGAAAATATCTGCTTTATGTTTCACATGGAAGTCTGACTTGTAGAGGGGAATCTAGAATGCATTATGTGGCTGGAGCTTTGGGAATATACAACTAAAACTGTTATGTGTGTGAAATTATAGGCTCTTTACTATTGGGATGAATCCCCAGTGAGAACTGCTGGAGAATGTACAGCCGTAGAGGAACTTATGAACACGGCATAAACACGATTTGGAGCAGGTCCATAAGTTACATACGTACTTAGAAAACCTCCTCCCCTAACTCCATGAGCATATTTCCTTCTTTAACATAACCTGAGCATAAATAAATCTGTAAAATGCCTTGGTTGCCAGATGTCACTTGGCCAAGTGCTGGCTCCATGTTTCTACCACACTTTTAGCGAGGTTATGTGAAAACCTACAACATCAAAATGGAAAAATGAACAACTATATACTGTAATACATCTTCTTTCTCTAAAATGTGGAGATCCTGTATAAAATATGAGGAATATACATACTGCCAATATAATGTTCAAAACTGAATCTCAGATTTATTTATTTTCTGTCCTTTCTCCCTTCTTTCTACTTTTTTCAGCTTGACTTAAAGGGCCACTATAGGCACCTAGACTATAACAGCTCATTAAAGTGGTCTGGGCACAGTGTCCCTATTGAACCTTAGTCATGTAGTGTCATGCTGGTAGCCAGCCACTAGAGACGATTCCTTGCTAGATGACCAATAGATGACTATTGGTCGCCTAACTGATACGGAACATCCTCACGATCTGCATGACATCCAGCATCAGAGAATTCCCCGTAGGAAAGCAATGAGTGCTGACTCAGTATCAGGTAAGTAATTAATTGGGTAAATAAATAAAGGGTTTTTGGCACGAGGGAGGAGGCAGAAGGAGCTATAGTGTTAGGAATACAGGTTTGTATTCCTAACACTATAGTATCCCTTTAATTTAGTTTTACTGTGTTTTGTTGCAACTTAAAAATATGGCAATGTAAAACAACATTTACATTTTGTTATAATAACAGCCGTTAGAGGCACTTTGGAGACTTAAATTTTTTGAAAGTCTTCACATTTATCAACATCACACGTTGCATAATGCTGCCTAACTCTGTCAATACTTCTAATTACATCAAGAAAAACAAATGCTTTTTTTCGGTGCAAAGTGCTAACTGTTGAGAGACAATGCATTTGTTTCCATTGTGACTCCATAGTGATTGGTTACTTTTCCAGAGGATAGCACCTAGTTTTGTCTTGATAAATGTCCCTCCTAGTGGAAGCGCTGCTTGAGAAGGTAGGCAAAGACAGAGTACAGTAGTGATATTGCTGAAGTCTGGCCTATTTTTGCACAGCTAGTTGATGGTTGATGAACCTAGAGAAAGGTGATCATAAAACTGTCTGATACACAATTACTGTTATCTTCTTCCCTTCTTCCTCTAAAAGCTATGGACTTGAGCAGAGAATATTACTGAGATCCCATAAATACACTCTATGGGTAACACTACTTACAGCTAACAGATCAACCAAGTCAAACCGAAATAAAATGGAATGGGTCACCGTCAGTCAGGGCTCCATTGTGGAATGATAGATTTAAACTTGGCAGGTTAATATTAAGTTTGTTGTTGGGTGAAATGAAAAAAAAGTCAATAGATATTCCATTGGACTTGGATCAGGTGCCAAGGGACTATGCTGTGTTAAGAAAAATGGACGGAGCTTCACCCAACTGAATACCAGGTGATTCACCCAGTCTCCACTCCTTCAAAAAAATTGTTAAAAACCCACTTCTTCATTAAAGCGTATCAATTAAACTGTTAATAGCTCCTGACTGATTCCTCTTCTGCAACTGTCACTAGTCTAATACTATCCTTACCTTTTTGTGTCATTTTACCCCACTCCCTCTAGCATGTAAGCTCATTGAGCAGGGCCCTTAACCCCTCTGTTCCTGTGTGTCCAACTTGTCTGGTTACAACTACATGTTTGTTCGTCCACCCATTTTTGACGGCGCTCTATAAATATCATAATAATAATAATAATTCAACTCAAAATGATTTGACAGCAGACACAGGAATGTTCTGTTAGGCAATAGACATTATATGCATGGCTGTTCACGTGTAGACTACGTTCATCCACTGGAGGGCAGTACCATTTAGTGGAGTGCAGACAGTTATTCAGGAGGTCAGTATGAGTCATTAGATGAGTGCATTATTCACTGTCAGACTCACTGACTGCGTGGAATTCCCTTCTCCTTTTAAAAATGGTGAAATGAATCCCTCTGCACTCTTACTCCCTAGTAGTGAATATGTTAAATGGTCTGCTGGTCTATGGGTTTTGCAGACAGTCTGGAATAAATAGCCTGTGTTTGTTTTTAGTGACCAGAAGAAATATTTCATGCCTAAAGGTTTCAGTCCATTACACCATTAATTTCCCACTAAACCTCTACTTCTTCATCCATAAATTACACCATAAATTTCCCACCAAACCTTTACTTCTTCATCATCTGTACCACCCCCCAATTATCATAGTAAGCCTGTAACTAACCCTCTTCAAAGCCCCTTGTTTACAACATGCAGGTTAAATAACAATTTACATAAAAAGCAGACTTAGTACACAATAATCTCTTATGGTACTGTGAACAATGTAGCATCTGTAAAAATTCTTGTATGAACACAAACATAAGATGACGACAAATTAACTATAAAATACAGGTTTCAGAGTTTCTACTACTCCCATACAGGGCTAGAACATCCAAAAGCAGCTGTTGTCCAAATTCATTTTTCCCATGGAACCCTTTGAATGTGGAACCCAAAAAAAAGGTGTGCTTTTGTGTGTACAGTTGGCAGGGCTGGACTGGCACACCGGGATACCGGGAAATTTCCCGGTGGGCCGCAGCACCTGGGGCCGGGCATACAGCCCTAATCATCAGGCTACTGTAATTGAAGTATTTTCCCCCAGGACTGTGCCAAGCTATGTCAGTCCGAGGAGAGAAATGAGGGAGGAGCTGGGGGCTGGTGCGGTCGCAATTAGGCTGCCCGCACCCGGATGGAGACCTGTCACAGTCTCCCTTCCAAATTAACATCAATTTTGGCCGTGTGCCCTGCCCCTGCATGGAAGCCACGCCTCCTGAATGGAAGCTCCACCTCCGGTATGCAAGCTCCACCCCCATGCACATTGCTGACCTCGCTGGAAGGAAGAGGCAAAAAGGCAACTTCACCTACCAGTGCCAGGTAAGCTGTAGCCATGACAGTGATTGTGTGTGTGTATGCCTGCTAGAGAAAGAGCTTGTGTGTGTGTGTGTGTATGCTTGCTAGTGAGAGAGCTTGTGTGTGTGTGCCTGCTAGTGACAGAGTTTGTGTGTGTGTGTGTATCTGCTAGTGAGTTTGTGTGTGTGTGTGCCTGCTAGTGACAGAGTTTGTATGTGTGTGTGTGCCTGCTAGTGAGTGAGCTTGTGTGTGTATGTTTGTCTGCTAGGGAGTGAGCTTGTTTGTGTGCCTGCTAGTGAGTGAGCTTGTGTGTGTGTGCGCACCTGCTAGTGAGAGCTTGTGTGTGTGTGTACCTGCTAGTGAGAGAGCTTGTGTGTGTACCTGCTAGTGAGAGAGCTTGTGTGTGTGCCTGCTAATGAGTGAGCGTGTGTGTGTGTGTGTGCCTGCTAATGAGTGAGCATGTGTGTGTATGTGTGCCTGCTACTGAGAGAGCATGTGTTTGTGCCTGCAAGTGAGAGAGCTTGTGTGTGTGCCTGCTAGTGAGAGAGTGGCATATATTTTTTTTCCAGGGCTGCTTTGTATTCCCAGTCCGGCCATGACAGCTGGTGTTTGTATATAATGTTAGCGTTTTGATACAGGGGTGTGTATGTATGTAATGTTTGCATTTGTGTGCAGGGGTATGTTTGTATGTAATGTTTGCATTTGCGTGCAGGGGTGTGCTTGGATGTAGTGTTAGCTTTTAAATACGGATTGTGTGTAGTATTAGTGTTTAAGTGTTTGAGTGAAGGGTATGTTCGAGTGTTTGTGTATAAATTTGAATCCAGGGGTTTTTGTATGCAATGTTTGTGTTTGTATGTTGTGGTGGTGTTTGAATCCTGGGATGAATGCACATATACATGTTTGATTGCTGGGATGTATGCACATATGATTGCTGTATGTATTCCACGTACATACATACATACACAAACAAATTAACACACAGACACACATATAAAAACATTGATACATACACAAACATTCATATACACACAAACACAAAGATACACACTTTGACACATGCACAGACCTTGACACACAAATACACACTGGCACATACACACACACACACTCAGATGAACACAGTGACACATACACAAACCTTGACACACATACTATTTGACAGACACACATACACTTTCACTGACAAACACACATACTCTTTAACAGACACACATACAAACACATATACACTCTCACTGGCAAGCACACATACATTCTCATTGACAAACACATACACACTCACTGACAAGCACACACACGCTCTCACTGACCAGCACACATGCACTCTCACTGACAAACACACATACATACTCACTGACAAACACACATACACTCTCACTAACAAACACACATACACTCTCAGTGACAAACACACATACACACACAGACAAGCACACATGCACTTTCACTGACAAGCACACATGCACTCTCATTGACAAACACACATACACACTCAGTGACAAACACACATATACACACACTCACTGACAAACACACATACACACACTCACTGACAAACACACATACACTCTCAGTGACAAACACACATACTCACTGACAAGCACACATACATACACACACACACACTCAGTGACAAACACACATAGACTCTCACTGACAAACACACATACACACACACTCACTAACAAACACACATACACTCTCAGTGACAAACACATATACACACATGCTGACAAGCACACATGCACTCTTACCGACAAGCACACATACACACTCATTGACACATATACACACTCATTGAGAAACACACATACTCACTGACAAACACACATGCAAACTCCTTAACAGACACACACAATTTTTTTTAATTTTTTTTTATTTCACTCCACCCAGCCTCCCTACCTTTAGGGAGTGCTGGCATGGCGTCTCTATTTCCCTGGGGTCCAGTGGGGCTGCTGGGCTGAATGGCTGGCGTGCAGTCCCTGGGGAGGTGGGGCTGCTGGGCTGAATGGCTGGCATGCAGTCCCTGGGGTCAAGTGGGGCTGTTGGGCTGAGCGTCTGGCGTGCAGTCCCTGGGATCAAGTGGGGCTGCTGGGCTGAGCAGCTGGCGTGTGGTCCCTGGGGTCCAGTGGGGCTGTTGGGCTGAGCGGCTGGCGTGCGGACGTACACTGCGGGCGGCGAGGGAGCAGTGATCCTCCTGCTCAGCTCCCTTGTGTGCCTCTTAGTAATGTAGGGGTCCATAACCCGGCTCCAGCATCATTGCGGTGAGTGCGAGGGAGCCGAGCAGGGGAGAGTGCTCCCAATTATCAGCAGCAGCTATTTTGTTTCCCCAAAGTGCGGTGGAACACCAAATGGGAAACGCTGGTCTATAGACCACAAATATATCCTGCCCCAGGTATCCAGTAAGTCTCCAGTTTTCTGTTTCTTGTCCATTGTCTAAATAAAAACATGCTTTGGCTACACTCCTTCATATATATATATATATATATATTTCATTTGTATATTTGTTTGTTTATTATATTATGTTATACTTACTAGTTTTTGGAAAAAATAATAAAGCAACATTAATGATTTTGTATACATTGTTTCTCAAGTTATTATTATTATTTTATTATTTATATAGCGCCATCAGATTCCGTATCGCTGTACAATGGGTGGACTAACAGACATGTAATTGTAACCAGACAACTGGACGTACAGGAACAGAGAGGTGGAGGGCCCTGCTCAATGAGCTTACATTCTGTGAATATCTATTTTTTCTAAGTTCAATCATAAACAGTTATTTGAATATGCAGTGTAGTGATCTCTGCTACAAAGTGTCACAATTTTATTTCTAATATAAGTCACATTTATTGTTTTTATATCAAATTTCTCCCTTTTCACTGCTCACTTATTTAAGCAATCCTTTTAAAATAGCGAATTCAAAATAGCATGACCCAAAATGTATTGCAAACGCAGTGCATTTCAGCACTATTTATATTGGCACCATTATTAAGTTTAGAGTGAGGCTTACGGTTTTGTGAGATGGAGAATTTTGCATTCCAGATTATGTGAACTGCCCAAATGCAAAATGTCACTTATAAAATAGCATATTATTTCTCTCTGTTTTAACTCTACAAAAGGGTGGGCAAGACATCACAATATAACCTTATTAAAGGGTTTAATCTACATAAATCTACTTCTCAGGCAGGCCTCCTCTATATGTTTAAAATATATTACAACTTTCCCTTTTAGTTCTGGACTGCTTCTGCTTTTTCCATATTACATCCATCCCTTCCCTCTCCCCACTCTCTTTAGTGAAATCTCAATCTGTACAATGTTTTCAGCTCCTGTTTATACAGAAAGTAAACATTTCAGATTATCACAAATAGCTAAGAAAGAACATAGAATCCGTCTGGACCGATCTTAAAGATATCATTGGAGCTTAGAGTACAGCATCACCTTGTGTCACCTCTTATATGCAAACACACCACGTGGTTGATTGAGCAACTATAACCCATGCAGCTGTTACTGGATTTAAATCATAATCTAGCATTTAATGTAAGAGTGATGGATGAAATGACCCAGACATTCTCATAAATTAACCAGATACCGTTCAACTACTACTCCTATCAATAGTTCAACATTGTCCAGTCCACTGGCATATGTATTTCAACGATTTACTACAGGCCACGTTTAGAGAACATTGGCCAGATATTTCATAGATTATTTCTTGTGGATTAAGTTTTGTGGCAGATTATATTATAGGACCATTGTCTGCTCCAACATACCTTCAATTTAGCTGTTAAACTAAATACAACTCTCATCAGTTGGTCGGAGAATGAAGACATATTTTTGATAATAAAGTATGTCTCTTTCAAATGTAGCAATAAGGTAAAACACTAACTTGAAACATGTCACTTAATAAGAGCTATTTAATATTTTGCCCTTTTGGTGGGGCAAGCAGATGTTAGCACCACAATTGAAGGGCTCTCACACTGATATCATTGGATGCTGCACAGAACTTTACCTGCAGATGGCCAGGCACCCAGAGACACTGTCAGTAACTCTGCCTGCCGCATATTATCACTGAGATGGGCGATGGGTTTCACAATGTGAGATCATATCCTGACACGCACTGCCTATTAATGGATAGAATACTCAGTAGACTCGTGCATGTCAAAAAAATATTGGTTAGTCCGAATCAAATTGTCTGAAAATTTTATTTTTTGTGTTTCAACCAAATTTCGTCCACGTGGTGTTTCAGTTCTAATTAATTTCACGCATACAATAGTTTCAGGAAAAACGGTTCAGACAAATCAGAATGGCGTTAAAACGCGCATATTAGTGTACTGCAAAACAAAAGAAAATCAGCTCTTCTTCATTTAATTTTTTTTTCTGGTGGTCCGGGCAGAACTCCGAATCACAAAACAAACAAAACAGCTGGTCCATTGCCCGTTTTGTTTGTTTTTTGATTCTACAAATTGATGTTTGGGACTTGCAGAACATTGATGAATAGCCCATTGACCAAAACTCGCTTTGTTTGAAACTGAATGCACAAGTCTAGTAGCAGACAGGAAGTCTCTGCTGCCTGGTAGACATCTCTCTTGCTCCTCCACACTAGAAATAAAGGAAGGTGAAGAAGGTGAGTAGAAAAGAAAAGCAATTAAAAATACATGAATGTGCATTTGTGTATGTGTTTGGTGTGCATTTATGTGTACCAATGTGTCTGAGTGTGCATCTGTGTGCTAGTGTATTTGTGCTAGTGTTTGTTCTACATGATGTGTGAGTAAGTTACTAATTATTTTGGTGTTTGTGGCAAGTTATATATGCATGTGAATGGCAAATTCTGTATTTCTGTATGTGCAAATGGCTTATTAGTTGTGTGTGAATGGATACTTCTGCATAATTATGTGGCTAACTAGTTTTTTCAAGTGTGTAGGCTAACCATATATGTGTTTGTGTGGATGAAGGACAGGCACGCAAATCTCTCTTGTCCAAGAACCTGCAAATGGTAACGGTGGCCTTGGATTTGATGTTGCTTACACACAGACTGTCAGATGGGGTAACCAGTCAAACATTGATAAAATACTAATGGCTCCAGCTTGTAACTTGCTGCGATTCACCACTGCACTGAATTTAAAACGGCAAATAGTTACCACTACTGGCAGGTTGGAGCAATTGTTCGATATTGTTATACCAAAGCCTGGAGAAGCAGTCAATTAGAATGAAATTTATTTTTATGTATCTGGATATTAAAGGGCTCTTTGCAGTTGCCACGCTTTGCCACTTCTATTTTGTACTGATTGGTTGTTGTTGTTGTACCTTGAATCAAAGGTACATCTGTCTAGAGAAAGGCATTTAGGAAGTAATGAGGCAAGTAAGGGAGATGTGTATTAACGATGAGAAAATAAAGAACATGCAGGTGAGACCTAGATCGAAAGAGGCGATAAGATGGACAGAGCAACAAAGAGGGGAACTGGAATGTCCAGTTATGGTCAGATAGGAGACACAGAAGAAATATGCAGGAAATCTCTTAGCTGACATCAGAATACAATGGACACCATGAGCAGGTTGGGAAGTAATAGGAAAACATTAGGGACAGAAACTGGTTATACTGACACCATGCAAAATATATATAAGGTACCAAATAGAATGAAACAGCCACTTCACTCTACTAACTATAACAACATTTGCCTCCAGGTTGCTGAGTAGCATGTTGGGCAATCTCATTTAGGCTAACAGCATTCAAAGTGGAGGTTTACAGGATGTAATCTCAGGCTGGTCTGGTCGTAAATGTCCATGGAGAGCTTATAATGTGGCAAATGGGATCCCTGGGAGGATTAGGAGGACACAGAATTAAGCATCATCAAAGACAATTTCTCACTGGGACAAGGTTAGATGGTCTCTAAATATGTAGGACCAGGACTGCACATGAAGGCCAATTGTTAACATCAGTAGGCCAAGATGGAGATGGGGCAAATAGTTTGAAATTCTGGTAAATATTAGTACACTATCGGCAGAGGATAGCAATAAGCATGATATGAGTCACTTATATCATGCTTATTGTTATCCTGCATGCAGATGGTGGTAATTATATCTTGCATGTTACTGACTGTCATGCACATGCTATATGCCTGGATAACTGTGCCAGCCTAGGACTGCAAGACTCCAAAGATCTTAGTTTTTTATCCCAATAGCTAGAGAATGTATGAAATGCATTGTCACTATGGCATCTGATGTATCCTTCTGGGCTATATTCACTCATTCATTGAACCTTTGATATCTAGAGTAGATGGGTAGTATGTGTACTTGGAGCAAGGCACACCATAGAGCTTTAGTGAGAAAGAGTCGAATCACAAATTCTGAGTTTCTCATGCTAGGAATTCACTAGGAAGCGACATCTTTCTTTGGGATAAACTTACCCAGGCCTCATACTATGCTATGGCAACTATTTAAGTGTTTAGGCTCCATATAAAGTTGGTTCTGATATCTATCCTCTAAAATTAGGATAGGTTTATGTGGTGTGTGCACGTGCATTTGTTCAAATCTATGTATGTGTATATTTGTGTTTGGTGAAAGGCACTCAGAACATACAGTTTACTCAGCACTGATATATAAAAATGCCAGCCTGCAGATTCCAAATCCTAGGCAGCTGACAGCACAGAAACACAACATCCCTTATACAAACAAGGTCTGCCAGAGTTATCCTGTGGCTGTCACACTCTCGCAATCAGAAAATCCTGACCACTGTTCAGTCGAAAGACCTGCAGCACATCTATCCTGGAAGCAAGACTCTGCAGACACAACTATACATTTCCAGGCTATGGTGTTGTTATCCAAATATAATTTTTTTTCAAATATTACAGTTCATTAAGGGTTGTTGAGAGAAAAAACACTTATGGTAAAAATGAATCTATAATGTATACAGAGAGGATTAGGTCTTTAAAACATACAGGGGAAGAAGATGAAAGGAGGGATTGTATATCAATTTACCAGTGACCTCCCACTTACAGAAAGGAGATGACAAGAGTTTGCTTAAAAACAGGACAATTCTATATATATCAAATCACTTCTATATAAACAAACCACTTGGGTTGGTAAGTGTCCTATCCAGTAATAGCGAAGCCTTTCCACAGATATACGAATACAAAAAAACATAAACTGTACAACATCTTGTAAAGTGGCAGACCATTCCACTACATAGTAAAATGTGACTACTTAATTTTAATGTGCAGCACCTAATCACTGACAAAAGGATTACAAAGGCCAGCACAAGATTGATGTGTACAGTGCAGTCACTGATAGAACATGTCAGCGAAAGTAATGTTATAAAAGTCTTGCCAACATTTTAAAACCACTTGGTCTCTTGTTGGTTTACAATTCATAAAATCCTCTGGCTGCCTGCTCTAGGCAATCAAAGTACAATATGCCACTAAATGTCCATAGACAATGCATATAAATTGGGGCTTGTGAGAAGGAACTTCAGTTATCACAATGAAATGCTGCTAATGCAATTTATATGACATTTTAGAGAAAAAAAGCCAATTAAGGCTTTTAAAGACAGACATTGGCTTAGAATTCAGACTATGACACACTCATACAATAAAGGTCCTATTGTGGACCCCTACTGATATTCTGGGATGGTATGAGCCATTTTCTGATTAAAAACCAAGTTTGCATTTTGTATCATTTATAGGTATGCAAAATGAATTACACAGCACTGACACATTGATCATCATGTGATAAATTAAGAAACCATTGAATACACTCTTTACCTCATTATTACACAGAAACAAACCCATAAGAGGCAGATTCATAATGAAACACAATGGGTTGTTTATAAAGATTAGCTGTGTGGCAAAGTTCTAACAGTGAGCAATCTCGATAGAAAATAACAGCATTTTTACTGATGATTGTTTCACTTTTATAATTCCCCCCACCCCTATCATAGCTATTATAAATAACCCAGAACGTTTGGTGCCTAAGTGCTTCCAGTAAATCAGTGGAGGTTATTTATAAAGAGTAATTGTGTGGTTAACAGTGGATAAATGCAACATTCCTGCTGATTGCACCACTTTTAGAACTTTTCCTTTGCTCCAGTATGTTCTTATATACCCAACCTCCAATGTCTGCTGCTGATTGGTTACACAAAGTAACAATAACCGATGCTTTATATAGACTGCACACAAAGAGTATGTGTTACAAAAATATATACAAATAAACATGATCCTGTATGTTCTGGCACCATATATCAAGGTAAACCAGAATGCATGTGTCCATAGATCAGACAAAATATATCTTATGCCACTAGAACCACTGCACAGCAGGTAACAGTTTTGATGAACGTAATGAAGAAATATCACTTACCTGTGTTCGTTTTTGGGGGGATCTAAGAGTCAGGGGTGCGGTCTGTACCCCCAGCAGGTAGAGAGCAGGTAGGATGGAGAGCAGCAGGTAAAGGCTCATGGCAAAGCACTTGGTGAAATAGCTAAGTTTGGTTACAAAGCACCTACTGCTTGTAAAAAAACAATTAAAAAAATGGCACTGGGTATATGTATATAGTTTTTTTTTCTTTGCGTTTTCCTTTATTGCCTGTCTCTGTCTGCCTTTGTTTCTTTTTTCTCTTGCTTTTAATGTTTCTGTCTGTGTGGAGGAGCTGTCCGCAGCCTGTCAGCAGCAGAGTATTCCTGCTGGGGATTTATACTGCTCTCTGTCTTTTGTTCTGTCTCTTCACTTTTATGGCCTGAAGTGACACATCTGAGCAGCGTCACGTGCTGGAAGTTTGGGAAGGAGAGAGAGAGAGAGAGGGAGACAGACAGGGGTTGACTGAGGAGAGGTCTTGTATTTGGGGAGGGGAGTGAAAGAAAGGGGGTTCTCTCTTACATTAAAAAAAATAGCCTCCAGGTCCAGCAATTATAGAACGTCATTATTTGTGTGCACATGAGCAATTCTCACAGACAAACAGCCAGAGTGCAACACACAGACAGAATGTAACACACATACACACACATACCTATGACAGACAGACAGCATCATGTAATGTAGTATTGCACAATCATGCTCTTATAGGACCAGAGAACATGTGTTCCATACAGTGACACTTACACAATCTTAAAACATGTTTTTGTATGGCAAAAGCAAAATAACACTTTTTTCCCAGTTCAGTTTTAAACAATATGCACAGCATTATACAAATCACACACCCAATTATTTTGACCTCAGGAAGGAATGCATAATTTTTCCTAAAAAAAAAAAAGTCAGTCACAGACACACTCTCACAGTGACTGATGGAACACAAACATACACATTCCTTTAAAATATCCAAAACAAAACAGATCCATGCTGCTTTCAGGTCAATAAAAAGGTTCCATTCTAAATGTAAATATGGTGCAGACCCACAGCAAACACCAGGTGTCCACTCACCTGACACCTGTCTGTGTTTCTGAAACATCTCTGTGTTAACCATGTGAAGCCCTTTGTGGGCATGTCCATGTGTATGTAAAACGCTGTGTTATGTAAACCTGTGTGTTCTTATGGAACAGACCAGACTAGTGTTTCTTAACCTTCACTTAAGCAAGGATCGCTGGTCGCAGAGTTTTCCAGCAAATAACCCAGAAACTGTGTCCTGTGCAACGCCACTAACTATGAATGAAGTGCATACACTTACAAGTAACCCACAAATACCAGAAGTGGAGAAAGTTGAGAAAAGAGTGCCAAAATATTGTAACCCACTCATCAATGTGACAAAATTAGGTAAAAATAACTGCTTTATTTCTAATTTTATATTAGAAACTAAGGTCTTAAACTTAAGGTCTTTTTTTTTTTTTTATCTTTAATAGTTTATTCACTTCAATAACTGGCGTAAGCTTTATTTCATTTTTTTTTTAAATCACTTTTTATTGAGCAGATATGCTTCAGACATTACATAGCTTTCAGAAACATATCAGGTTTCATACATGTAGAATATCGTGGACATGGATTAAGTGGTTGCATAAATACCAAATGTCAGAAATGCCTATTAGCACCAAGACAAACATGAGACTAAACACAGTGAGAATAAGTAGGGTATTCCTCAGAACCACTCATTTTGTATAATGCAATCGAATCTGAACTTAGGCAGTTGTCCAGCAAAACACAACATCAAAAAGAAAAGATAACCAGTAATATGGAAACTTATATAAACCAATAATAAATTCAATGCATGCGTTGCGAGCGATTTATCTAGAATTTTCTGCAAGACAGAGGTGGATCCCTACCTTACGTTTAATGAGTACTGGAGGCTGTCAGCATGGTAGTAGAAAGCCATCAGCCAGATTATTATTATTTTATTATTCATATAGCGCCATCAGACTCCATAGCGCTGTACAATGGATGGACTAACAGACATGTAATTGTAACCAGACAACTGGACGTACAGGAACAGAGAGGTGGAGGGCCCTGCTCCATGAGCAGATGATCTAATATTAGAATGCAATGAAAAGGTATAAGAGACTAATAAACCTGCTGATATAAATTAAACTTGTAATGCCTCCAGGGCTTATGATTGCCCTTAAGGGAGAAGTGCGGGGGAGGCAAGGGGGTACTGATAGAATTCTCTGTGCTTGATAACACGGATTCGAAAAAATACGTAAAGAAACCAAAAAACCTGCAGAAACTATAAGCTATGACCCAAACATTTCAATACCACCTTACAGTCATTCAGTGGTTAGTATAATGAGAAAGAGAACTGTGAGTAAAAGTACTAGTAAGGTGCTTGCAAAACTGAGCTATCACCTATTTTACTGAGTCATGGCATCTGAATAGAACAAAGGATACTGTATTTGGGATGTCCCAATAATGGGTGGTCACAGGTCCTGCAGGTACAGTATCCGCCTCTACAAGGCCAAGTACTGAGAGGAAAGTGGAGGCTTGTTGCCTTGTGTGTCTTCCCTTCCTTAGAGACCATCAGTGATGCTTATTTTTATGAGTTTTCCTTTTATGTTTTAGATTTTGGGCCCTCAACTGTGTAGTGGAGCTACCTGTACACTGGCTTTGTACATCTGCCAAGAACTACTTCCTAGCTGGAACAGGGGAAAACCTCAGTGCTTCTGCCCCAGTCGCCGTGGCTTGACTGGGGTCCTACTGGAGCCTCTCCGTCCTGGAACAGGATAGGAGACTAGCTCTATTCCCTCCCAGGGACTGGACGACACACAGTCCTGGGAGCTCTAGTCCTTACAAATCCTCCATGAGCTGGAACAACGTGCTGAGCAGTGATTATAGCCTTCCCCTCCCAGTAACTAGACCACACATAGCTCTGGGAGTACAACAGAACTTTATTAGCCCACACACAGCTTTTTTTTTTTTTTATTCTTTATTTTCTGTTGTGCATGGTATAACAGTAGGCTTACTCAGCCAGAAATAGCAGTCGTAAGCTTATAACAGGCATCATAAACAAAACGTGGCATATAATAGTCAGCACAGTTTTTAGGGTTTTGTTGTAGGTAATAGGTTGCACAATTTTTGTGATAACAACAGGCATAGTACATTGTGGTAGCTTGGTAGTAGTGTGGTAGGGTACAAGCAAGTGGTTGTGCATCAGATTTCGGGTGTTAGCCTACAGGCAGTTGAGGTGTATATGTAAGAACCATAGCACCTATATTTAGGTCCATATTGTACAGGCTGGAGATATGTAGGGAACAAGCTGTAACAGGCCGACATATCTTCGGTGATATCAGGTGTTAGACTAGTGAGCGGAGAGGGTGACATGTAGGTGGACCAGCTGCGGTTCTAAGCTCTGTCGCTATGGTTAACCTATGCTTTAAGGTGACTTGTCTGCATTTGCAAGATAGGTGAGTTAAGACACATAGCGCATCTCCGGTTTGGTTCGTATTCCATGGGTGCTTGTGTGTTGCGGTGGCTAGAGGCATTGTGGGGGTATGTCATGGTAATAAGGCTCCTTAACCCCGCAGTGGGGGGTGTTTTGCTGCGGGAAGCTGACTAGGTATCTGATCTAGAGCACGGCATCAAGCACATAACGTAAGTGACATAGACATGTATGACCAGGTGTCTGATCTAGAGCACGGCATCAAGCAGATAACGTAAGTGGCATAGAGATGTATAACTGGCATACAACTTAGGCATAAACTTAAATACAAAAAAAGAAGAAAGGAAAACACACAAAAGGAAAACAAGGCGGGAGGGGACATTGCATCAGTCAGTGTATTAGCACTCCGATCGGTGCCTTCATGGGTTCCTGGTGATGAACGGTTGATTCATCACCTTAAGAATCAGGTAGGTGCATGATGCTGCTTCCTGCTGGGGCCGTTTGTCCCGATAGGGTGAATGGTGTCATGTTGGCTATATCCCACCGGTTGTGGTGCTTCTGCCGGTGTTGTTAGTCGGTGGTTTTAACCTACATGTGTGGCGATCAGCATTCCGGGGTGGCCCCATCTATATTGTATGTCCGCTGCTCTCATTTGTGTTGTGATTACTTTCATGGAAGCCCGCCACTGCAATGTTTGGCGACTCAGGTCTTGGAAGAAGTGTAAGGTTAGATTCTCGAAAGCCTACGGGGTCTGGCCCCTGACAGCACGGAGGAATCTGTCTTTGTCTAAACGGGATTTAAAGCTCATGATGACATCCCTTGCGGTGTCTGTGGCATTGCTTGGGCGCCCTGGTATGCGGAATAGGCTGTCTAAGGTCAGTCCTTTGGCCTGTTTAGGTGGTAGGGCAATATACAGCAACCTCTTTATGAGGTGCGGCAATTTGTCTGCTGTCACTGAGTCCAGGATCCCCCTCACCTTTATATTTCCTTGTCTCGCCATATCTTCGAGCTGCTCACTCGAGCATTGAGTTGTGAGCATGTGGTTACTAGCTCTTGTGTTTGCTTCGCCGTGGCATCATGCTGGGCTCTCAAGTCCTGAATTACCTCTTCTGTGGCTCGCATGCGGCCTGTGAGCGTGTTCAATTCCATCTTGAGGCCAGCTAATTCTGACGTAAAGAAGGCCTTGAAGTCAGTCACCATACCTGACAAGTCGGCCTTAGTGGCCAGTGGTGGTTCTGATTGCCTTTTTGTGGTTTGTTGCTTCCTGTGGGGTGTCTGTGTCGGCACATCCTCAGGTAGTTATCCTCTGAGGCGGAGAGTGACTCCATTCCCATCGTTTGAAAGACGTCCACCATTTTGGGTCTGCAGGCCTGGGACAAGAGTTGCCTGATATCTTGGGTATGTCCCGTGGAGGGCCCTCTGGGTTTCCGTGAGTGCTTCCCCATGTTGTACTGGCTCCCCCTCCATCTTTCCCCGGCTTATGGAGGTAGATTTTGAGGGTTCTGAGGTTTTTTTGCCGTAGTGGTGTCGGAGCTCAGGATTCATGCGACTTGTCTGCTCGATAGCTAGCTCCGCACCCCCCACACAGCTTTTTATGTCTCCGGACAAGTTGACAGGGAATTTTCCCAAGACGCACTGTGTCTGAGAGATGTGAGCTAGGAATTTCAGATAACTTAATAATCTCTCAGTTACATAAAATATATATTTTTTATAAAACACCCCAAAAACGTAATAGAACAGTACAGGAACCCCACGGTTGTTTTTTCCCCGAATAGCCTGAATCTGAGGGCCAAACATAACAAAAGTGCTCAGACTAGTTTGGTGGAACAAGATCGCTATTCAGGAAAAAGATTTCACCACGAGGTGATGCCCCAAAAGGGTTCCAGAGAATCCAGGGCTGTAGC